GTTGGCACTTCACTCTGCAAAGAGCATAAAAACATGGCCCATATAAAGCATATCAAACCATAAATTTACATGTATTCGCATAGCCAAATAAACAGATTGATCCATATTTTAAAATAACTCAAGTTATCACTTAAGCTTTGTAAGTAATTAATTCAATGTGCACAAGCAAAAGAATTCCTTACCTTTGTCAGAGACCTTTGCGAACATCAAGTCAGCCGAAGTGAGCATTAGAGATGCCAAATCCAACCATCTCCCCATCACCATACTCTCTTGAGCTTCCAAACAGAGCCTACTAACTTGTTCTTCCGCAGCCTGAGAATGAGCCACCAAAACACATTCACTCATGATAATTAACATGCTATGAAAAATAAGTACTATCACCACTCATTCATTTCAAAAAAAAAAAATCAAAGCTTGAATTTTTTTTTTTTTTTTTTTTTTTTTTTTGGTTACCAGGTATGTCCAGACCAGCTTACGCGCATCTCAAATAGTCCCCAACCCAGAATCAGGACAAGCCCTGCGGGCCGTGGCCAGTACTATTAGCAACTGTTCTTGTGATTCGAACTTGAGACCACAGGGGAGCAAACCCCTTGCCCCAAGCCTTTACCACCGCGCAACCATTGTTGTTCAAAGCCTTAATTTTCAGAACAATTTTCTATATTTATTCCTAAATCTTCTCATGCACTTAAATTTAGCAAATAAAATAATTGCAAAACAAAAAATCCTAAAAAAGGATCTTTTATCAATTTATATCAATAAAAAAAAAAAAAGGATCTTTTATCAAACAAATCAATTAAAAAAAACAAAATGACTCATACCCATTACGAATATGCATAAGAACTTCGAAATCAAGTTCCCAGATGTTTAATAAAGTGAAAAGCACAAACAGATACTCGGACCGGCGTCAGCCCAGGCGAGTTCGGAGGTGAAGGGACAACAGCGAGGGCGGGTCTTTCGGAGGTTGGTACAACGGTTGTCATTGTATGATGTTGAAGAAGCTCTCTGCAACGGCGATTTTCAAAACGACGGCGTTTCTTGTTCTGGCGCCGAGCAGAGAGAGTGTGTTAAAACCCTAAGTAGGTATCTTTTGTGTAACAGGCGCAGATTGTTTCTCTTATAATATAGACCATTATTACGTTCTAAATTCTCCTATTTATAATGGTAGTATAATATCCCCATAATAATTAAGTTGAGATTAATTAGAATACGAAAATAAGTAATGTTAGATTAAAATGTTTTTGTATCTAAGGTGTTTTAACGTGACGTTATGAAATTAAAAATAAAATTAAGATTTTTTTTTTTTTTTTGATCGAGGATGTTAGAGTTGGTTTATGTGTATTTTAATTTATCTTTTAAACTCTGAAACTATTACGGATAAAAGTTCAAGTGACTATTCCTATTAAAACTGATGAGAAACTGAATAGGAATTGAACCACTCAATATTTTAATACATTTTAAATTAAGTTTTTTTTTTTTCTTTTTTATATAATATTATTAAAATAAGTTGATTTTTTATTTCGAACGTGTGTCCTAAAGATAACACTATAACTATTAATAAGTCAAGAGTGTCTCAAATAATAAAAAGTTGCTTACAAAGCTTTGAATTGTGTTTAAACACAAGTTTTATCAAAGCGATTTATTTGTATGATAAGGCCTATTTATATTCGGTTTTAATGTTTTACATATTATAAAATTCAATTCACACTACAAACTTTACTTACTATAGTGATATTACAACCTATTTAATTTTTTCTTTTTCTTAAAAAAAAAAAAAAAAAAAGGAAAACTTAGGACATAGTTTTTCCCTCTGTATTTGAAGTTTATATTTAAGTTTTATATAAATGATAGTATCATAGTTTAAAAAATACGTATGATTGAAGTGATTTTTACTTATTTATGATATGTACCCTTTAGACGGCGTTTGGTTCAAGGAATGTTAGATTACTGAAAAGACAGATTACTTTGAAGATTACTAGAAATCTTTAGGAAAATGTGTTTGGTTAATTGGTGGGTATGTTATATTAATATGTTTGGTTGGGAGGAATAAATTGGTAGATATGTTATTTAAATTATTGAATTGTTCTCTAATTAAAAATTATTATAATATTATTTCTTAATATTATTATCATTTGGATTACTATAACCCCCTACATTTAAAAACTTAGCAAAAACAACCCCATAATAAAAGTTTGGAAAATCAACAAAACACCCCCCACCGACCCAACCACTGCCGGCCGCCAGCAACCATCGCAAGCCACTGACAACCTAACGATGCACGAAAAGCTGAAAATGGCTATCGTGCGCCGATATGACCATTTCCGACCATCGATCTGGCCGAAAATGGTCATATCAGGGCACGGTAGCCATTTTCGGTCTTCTGTGCGTCGTTCCGACGGCGGCGACTGGTTGCTGCGGTGGTTACGGTGGCAGGTGGTTAGGGGTAGTGGCTTGGGTGGGTTGTAATTTGTTTTGAATTCAAGGGTAATTTTGTCCAAAAAAAATAATTAATTGGGGTTGAAATAGTAAAAGGCATATTCATGTAAATAAATTTAAAAATAAGGGTATTATTGTCCTAAAATTTTATTAATAAGGGATAGAATTGTAACAAAATTAAAACTCTGGTAATCTTAAAAGACCTAAGAAAATGGAAGTAATCAGATTACCTCAAATATTACCAATAATAACCACTATTGGTATTTGAAGATTACCGATATCTTATATTACTTGATAACCAAACATGGTAATCAAGTAATATAAGATAACTTAACCCAAGTAATCTTAAATATCTCCTAACCAAACGCTCCCTCGGTAAAAGGTCATATCACTTGTGAATTCAATTTTTTTTTTTTTCTGTTAATTAAAGTAGGAGTGTAGTTCCTACACACATTAAAAAAAAAAAAAAAAAAAAGGGAAAATTATAACAAATGTATATTTGTTCGTCCAATCATTTAAACTTTTTCTCACTCAAGGTTTGCTTTAATAATACTTTCCTATCCAACAAGTTTCAAAATACTACTTTTTCACTCAACATTTTGTATTCTGTTATCTACCTAAAATACATTTNGTCTCAAATAATAAAAAGTTGCTTACAAAGCTTTGAATTGTGTTTAAACACAAGTTTTATCAAAGCGATTTATTTGTATGATAAGGCCTATTTATATTCGGTTTTAATGTTTTACATATTATAAAATTCAATTCACACTACAAACTTTACTTACTATAGTGATATTACAACCTATTTAATTTTTTCTTTTTCTTAAAAAAAAAAAAAAAAAAAAAAACGAAAAGAAAACTTAGGACATAGTTTTTTCCTCTGCATTTAAAGTTTATATTTAAGTTTTATATAAATGATAGTATCATAGATTAAAAATATGTATGAATGAAGTGATTTTTACTGATTTATGATATGTACCCTTCAGAGGGCGTTTGATTCAAAGAATGTTAGATTACTGGAAAGATAGATTACCTTAAAGATTATTAGGAATCTTTAGGAAAATGTGTTTGATTAATTGGTGGGTATGTTATATTAATATGTTTGGTTGGGAGGAATAAATTGGTAGATATGTTATTTAAATTACTGAATTGTTCTCTAATTAAATATTATTATTATATTATTTTTTAATATTATTATCATTTGGATTACTATAACCCCCCTACATTTAAAAACTTAGCAAAAACAACCTTACAATAAAAGTTTAGAAAATCAACAAAACACCCCCCACCAACCCAACCACTGCTGGCCGCCAGCAACCACGCAGGCCGCTGGCAACCTAACGGTGCACGAAAGGCTGAAAATGGCCATCGTGCGCTAATATGACCATTTCCGGCCATCGATCTGGTCGGAAATGGTCATATCGGGGCACGGCAGCCATTTTCAATCTTCCGTACATTGTTCCGACGGCGGCGGCTGGTTGCTCCGGTGGTTACGGCAGAAGGTGGCTAGGTGTGGTGGCTTGGGTGGGTTGTAATTTGTTTTGAATTCAAGGGTAATTTTGTCTAAAAAATTAATTAATTGGGGGTGAAATAATAAAAGTCATATTCATGTAAATAAATTTAAAAATAATAGTATTATTGTCCTAAAATTTTATTAATAAGGGATAGAATTGTAACAAAAAAATATAAATCTGGTAATCTTAGAAGATCTAAAAAAATGGAAGTAATCAGATTACCTCAAATATTACCAATAGTAACCACTATTGGTATTTAAAGATTACCGGTATCTTATATTACTTGACAACCAAATATGGTAATCAAGTAATGTAATATAACTTAACCAAAGTAATCTCAAATATCCCCTAACCAAACGCCCCCTCGGTAAAAGGTCATATCACTTATGAATTCAATTTTTTTTTTTTTTTTTCTGTTAATTAAAGTAGGAGTGTAGTTCGTACACACATTAAAACAAAAAAAGGGAAAATTATAACAAATGTATATTTGTTCGTCCAATCATTTAAACTTTTTCTCACTCAAGGTTTGCTTTAATAATAATTTCCTATCCAACAAGTTTCAAAATACTACTTTTTTACTCAACATTTTGTATTCTGTTATATACCTAAAATATACTTCACTTCCTCAGTTAGCGTTCAACGAGTAACCAGGAGCCAGGATAAGAGAGTTTTTGTAGAGTGGAGGTCGGTGGATTGAATAGTAGTGACCGATTGAATATTCATCACCGAAATCAACTGAAAATTATCTAAAAACAGGAACTCTTTGTTTTGCAGTAACCAGCAATCGATAAGAAATTAGATGTCAAAATAAGAGGGGTTTTATAGAGAGAAGACCAGATGTTCAAATAGTGGTGACAGGGAGAATTTTATCTATCAAAATCAGCTTTGAGTAGTAACAGAATATTAACATTAAGTAGGAAAAGGGTATTTTAAAACTTCTTGGAGGGAAATTCATCGAGGCAAACCTTGGGTGGGAAAAGGTGTTTACTCATCATTAATGCGTATAAATCACACACACCCCGACCTACTGTATAGAATAAAGTTTAACACTTGTGACCGCCGACGATGTTAAATGAAAATTATGGCAAGTATGTTATAGAATAATGTTTTCTTCTATACCAAATTACAGCATTTTCAACCAGTAGCAAAACGATACATTCAAGAACACTTATAAAATGCCAAAAACACTTTCAGATCATTAAATACAGTCTTCTTCCCCTATTTTACAGTGCTATTTGCAATATCCAAACAGCAAAGTAAATCACTAGACTAGAACAATGACAAGCCATACACATATATAGACATAAACCATTCAAAGAATTATTGCCTTTGCACGCACTTAATATAACCAGGGATTGGAAGGAATATACTGAACCATTAATAGTATGTGCCAATTCTGCTGATTGAATGATGCAACCAATCATTTTTTAGGGTTGCGAACGACCAAATAATCAGTTCCCACTACCGAAGAGGTAGCCCAAGGAAGATCCACCACCAGGGGCAGCATGAACTTTGGTTGATGGACGATCCTGCACCCATGTATAAAAACCGATAAATGAGTATAATGATTGAGGAACAATCAAATTGCTTAATCAAACGTTCGACATGTGAAATAATGCTGTATGATGAAATTTCTGCCTTTGATGAGTAAAAATGAGTAATGCCATTGAAATAGAATGTAAACGGGGTCATATGACATTGTCCTATAATACTGTGAGAAATAAGGTCCATCAACACAAAGGGGATGAGGACAACCAAATCGTAATGAACAAGGGAAAAGGTAACCTGAACAGCTAGAAGGAAGAAAAGTCATCTTTTATAGGGAAAAATGGTTAAGTAATTTGATCATAAGCCAATCCGGTCACGGAAAGATCGCATGCTACATCCAATTAATGGAAATTAAAGACAGAGCAGAATCTATTCCTATATATCTTGCCTTATTGATCCCTTCATTTCTAGAACCCTCAAGAAAATTAACTATTCTGATACTGAGTTCCAGGAAGCAAAATAAAGTAACTTAGAGGATCAAATCTTTCTGAACATCAGTTAAAGCATGCCATCTACAGATATATTTTTAATTGGATTTCAGAAGTGCATGTAACTGCAGCCTTCTAATAGTTCTAGCAGAACTTCGGCAAAAGTTAAATACATCCAAGTTGTTTCTTTCCAATGGATCAAATAAGAAAATTAGATTTTCATTCACTCGACTGACATTCTTTGTAGGAAATATGAGGCTTTCAAGAGCAAACTAGTCACAATAATTTCAGTCAAACTCATGACACTGGATATTTCAGGATAAAGACTTCATTTTGTATGTTAAATCACCCTTAAGCAATAACTTGACTATTGCCATACCGTGAGAAAGTTGCCACAGTTCTGCCCTTCAGATCGATAATAGTTGTTTTTAGGATTTCCATGAATGCCTGCTGGAATCTGCTTGTCAATTGGTTGCGAAGCAACAGAGGGCTTCTGAGAAGGCACATTATTTGCAGTTTGAACATGATTCTTAGGAGCTTGGGCAGCATAGGCAGTCTCTCCACCTCCAAACAGGTAACCTAAAGAGCTCTGTCCACCACCGGCGCTGACTCCACGACCCATTCTTACTGATTGCTACCTTTCTACAAATAACACTTGAATCAGCACATAATTCCAATGATGAAATGATTGAAACTTCAAAATTCATGCATGAGAAAAAGAAAAAGGTGAAAACAGAAAAGCCAATGTTGTCAAAATATATATACACTCATCAAATGCACATGCAACAAAAAGAAAAATTACATGCAATCTCAGTTGTTTCTTCTTCAAATATCAGTTCAAATCCGAAATTATCAGAAGTATGTAGCTAAATTGAGAACCAGGCAGTATCACTAAATGCAAATCTAAAAGATCATCACATTTGCTGCCTAGCCATCTCTTTATCATGGATGAACGTACAATACATGCATCCAAATGCATTCATAGAACATAAAATTCATTCAAACAAAAATCAAATTACTTTATGACAATATCAGTAGCTAGAATCAACCAAATCCATCTTAACACAACAATTGTGCATAACATGCTCTACTTTATTCATATCTTCCTCAACAAGAGCAAATTCAAAGCAATGAAAAGAATCTTCAAAACCAATGTGATCCCCTTTTCATCATCTCCAATTATCAGTCACATTCCCTATAATGACCTCTTTCTGTTAGTTTACAAACAAAAAAAGAAAGAAAGAAAGGAAAAAAAAAAATAGAACAGATCCAAGAAACCAACATGTTATACACCAGAAATTGTAAAATATGCCCCAGAAATAAAATCCCAGAACCGAAAACACCAGAATGAGTATCAAATGAAAAAATGGAGATGAAAATGTGAAGCTAAGGGAAAGAAGGTTGCTTTACCTTTTTTGTTGAGGAAGTTAAAATTTGAAGCAAAGGTAAAATGAGGAGCTCAAAGAAACCAAATGAGGTGTGGTTTATATATAACTGGGAGGGAAATTAGCTTAATTAAAAATAATTACGAAGACATAATTATGGAGAAGAGAATTTGTGATTTTGTTTTGAGATAGAGTTTGACGTAGTCAAATTCTGAGCTGGTTTCGGTTTAGTTAAGCGGTCGGCAGTTGATGTCACGTTCCAAAATCATGAGAGTCACGTGTTGGTTTTTTTGGTCCAAAGGAATGCTATGGTGCTGCGCGGGCCAATTGGAGGGATGGTGCTTCGTCTTCATCACTTTGATCAATACATGACATTGATGTTAATCTTTCTAATATAATATGAAATTTTATTAATTTGTGAAATATATGATATTTTATAATGACATATTTAACATCTTCTTTAATCGTTTTATTTTATATCATTTGGTTTTTACATGAAAACCCTAGTGTTTGATATTTTTGTGTTAGTATTTATTGGTATCAGAAATGTGACTCTAACCCTCTTGTGTTTGGTATTTTTTATAGCGAGCATCCATTCGTTTCGGAAATGTGATTCTAACCCGATGTGTTTGGGCTTTTTTGTAATGAATATCTGTTGGTTTTGAAAATACGATCCTAAATCATGTGTCCTTTTTTCAAGTGAGTGCTCTCTAATTTCGAAAATGTCATCAATTCAACCTTCAAATAAATTAACAATTTTATTAGTTTAACCTTAAAAAAATATATTAACCTCTCAGCATTCTCGACCCATTTTGGATATTAGACTCATTGAATTTGAGTGAATAGTAAAAACATTATTTCATTTAAATTTAAACATAATAATCTAACGGTTAGTTAAAAGAGTAAATGACTTTTTACCACCCAAGTTTGCCTTAATGACACTTTTACACCAAAAAAGTTTCAAAATACCATTTTCTCACCCAAAGTTTATATTTCAACCAATCGTCGGCCGATTCTAACATCTTTGCGACCCCAAACTACCACTATTCTCTTCCTCGATCATCACTCACCAAAACACCTTATACCTTATTTTTGCTAACCCCGCTAATCGCTGGCAATCTAGTAATTTTTGAAACGCATAGTTGTCCATCCCAAGTCAGATTCCAACATCCAGCCACACTATCCAACCTGCCACATCAAAAGACTCATTGGAATCCCTTAGAAGCCCTAAAATCTTAGACCAAGTTTTCTCTCCGTTGGCTGCAAAACGAAAGGCATTTTGAATAATAAAAAAAATAAAACTTTGGTGGTTAAGTGTATTTGAAACTTTTTGGGTGAGAAAATGTCATTAAGGAAAACCTTGGGTGGAAAAAGTCATTTACTCTTCTTCAAAATAAGGGTTAAGGTGTATTTTCAAAATAGCAAATACTCACTAAGAAAAGCGCAAACTCGGGAGTAAAGGTTGTATTTCTAAAACCAACTAGTACTCACAAAAAGGCTAAACATGTTAAAAATGTGGATATCGAACCTCCTAATTTTTATGTTCTTTTATTTTTCATTTATTTGGCTATTTATTTATGTTTAATAGTTGTTATTATATATTCTAATAGGTAGAGGTTAGAGTAACAAAACACACAAGTTTTACTATAAAAAAAAACCGTCATTTGCCTCCAATACAAATTTAATCTTGTTCCCCTACTTCCAAACCACAAACAAAAAAACAAAAAAAAACAAAAAAAAAAAAAAAAAAAAAAAGAAGAAGCATCACCAACCAAAACATAATCAAGCATGGAAAATGATTCTGCAAGAAAACAGATTTTTTGTTTTTAAATCCACCAGTCTTATCATCAGTGATGTAGTGCACAGCGTGCCCGTATGCTCAAACCTCAAATTCTGTAAGGTCGCATGCATAATCAGAAAATGCAACTCTGGAAAAGACCCTGTAATGAAAATGACGTGAGGATGGAAAAGTTATGATAATGAGAGGTAAAGAGCAATCAATATCAAAGATATGTTAGGTCCTTCAATTAGCTAGAAGATCCCTTTTGAAGAGCAGACTTTCATGAGCGAGTGTTGTTGCTTTTTTAATTGGAAAGAAAGCAGTTGAGGAAGATGGACATGACTTAAACTGAGTTGGGTTTGGTTGGAATAATTGAAATCTTGTGAAAAAGAGAGATAAAAATGAACTTTCATAGGTATAAATTTATTGTGTTAAGCAAATAAAGCTTTACTACATTTATGAAAATTCAATGACAGAAGTAGTGTTGCGCAATTCACTTGTTTTTTTTGAGCTCCATTTGAGTGCAGAAGTATGGAAAATTAGTTGCAGAAAAAAGGGTTTAAGCCACAACTACCTTCTGTCTTGTAAACAAAGGCTCTTGGCTATTTATTACTATCTGAAGTTTTAAAGTCTAACCTACTTTTGATGAAAGCAACACATAAACTTTATGAATAATAAAAAATGTACATTGTAGGCTTCACCTTGTGCACTGCATTTTGCTTGCATTCTAAGATTTTAGGGCTGAGTCAGACAAATTATAGAGCAAGAAATCCCATCTTCATCAAGATAGAATATGGAGTCATTCATATTTTATTCATGTATTGGATAAGAAACAACTGCTTAAGCTTTTTGATGAATGGCTCCATTTAAGTTACAGATAAACCAGATAACTTTACATACAAGTGACCACAAAAGGGTAAGTAATTCAACTAGTATATAAGCACAAGAGCATAACCAGTTTTCTAATAAAAGGCAGGAATAAGAAAATAAATCTAAAAAAGAAAAAGGTGGCCAAAAACCGAAAACTTTTCGACATTCGACCATTCAAGGTATTATTAGTCTTGTCTTAACCAAACGTTATACATGGTCAGCTCTCATTTACCAGGTGAGCAGAGATTCAATGTGATTCTTTGATGATGCCCCGTAAACTGGAGTGCTACATTACAAGGAAGTCGCAATAGTGGCATTGAAGTCATAAAAAATGAAAATCAACAGCATGCACACACACTAAGCTCTGGAAATATAACTTCCATTTTACTAACAAAAAATATAATCATCCCTTTCTGGAAAAAAAATGACCTCACAAAAAGATATGAACACATTTCATTTTCTGATATATGATGTTGAAGAATCATTTTCAAGAATTTGGCACTGTGGAAACCATTTATGATGATATGTGCATGTATGTGATCACTTAACATCCAGTAAGGCTTTCCTGTGCCATGTCAATGAACTCTGGGGAGAGACTTCGAAAAGTCATTAGCTATAGATATTTCAAGTTGCAGGGATCGTTGAGATCTCTACTAATAACTTGTGCAGGGCTTGAGGCTTTGAGAAAAAAGGTGAGTGATCAGCACCCTTTAGACGGAATACCTGCTCTGGAGGACTTGAGTTTATCATGCTTTCCTGAAGGGTGATAGGAATCGCATTATCTTCTGGAGTTTCTACATAAAACCGCCTCACAGATCCATATTTCAGGTCGGAAAGAGAGAGTTTCTCCAAAACTGGAGCAAAGGGGATTGGTCTCATTGAAACAGATGCTAACGCAATATCCTGGATGATGAGAAGCATATTAGAATAACAACAATGATAAGACGAGAAAAATAAGAAACACAAATACACACCCATGACCCAACCACAGAGAATTGCAACATCAAAACTAAAGCAATGGAGTATTACCACCAACTTCAATAAGAATGCATTCTAAGGCCAAATAGCTTGTCTTTATTGGCTAATTCACAAAATATCTTTGTAATTTCAGTTTTTGGAATTTTGAAATGGACCTTACAAAACAGTTCAAAAACAGCATTTTCATACCCCAAGAACAACTGCAAATAACAGAGCAAATGGCATAGTAAAACATGCCACTTGTGATTCCTTTAAAATGAACGTCAACCCAAATAGCAAATGATGAAGCTAAAAGTTAAGCTTCATGGGAGCCAATAACATATAAAATCAATAGACAACATTTTAATCAGCTATCTCGACCAAATACACATTCCTATCTTATACATTGCCAAGCGCATACGAACAATTTAAAAGTGAGATCAATCACATAGACATTGTTCAGTGCACTTGTTATCTGAAGGTCAATATTTAACTATGAACAACGGCACAACTAAGATCATGATTTGCATCTCCTATCAATAACATCATATAATAAGTACAGAGAAAAAAGTTGCTAACCATGCTTTTTGATATTTCGAGAGAGGGAAGAGAGTAAAACAATCATTTTATCCGCTTTTGTTATGTGTGTGTTCAGTTTTATGTCAGCAATGTCACAAGTTACAGTTCAGATATACCTTCGCAGGGCTCTGGTTGAATAACAAGTCCTTCAACAATGACCTGTCCAGATCAATAGCAGTAGGAGGGCGATCATTCCCATTTGCATACAAAAATATCTGAGCCTGCCCCATCAAATCATTTGAACCTGTCTGCAATGACTTTTAGCATCAGTCTCAAAGATTAGAGAAATCATTTACAAAAACATTCCTAAGAAGGTGAGATTGAAAGTTTACAGTTTGGTGAAAAAGTAAGAATGCTCCAGGAATTCCTTTTCCTTTTTTTTTTTTTAATTGCTAAAACTTGAAGCTAGTAAAACAAAGATGATAGGAGAGGGGGACAAATAATGCTTTACTATAAAAAGAGGAAAAAGAAAAAATTACTGTAATTAACATTGCCCTTCAGAAGACCAAAAGCCACAGAGCAAGAAAGATGCTAGTGCAAAATTAAAAAGAGAAAAAGAAAAGGAGCATAAACACACATAAAAGACTTCCCCCAATTGTCATCATGTAATGCAATTTAAGAAACTTTGAAATCTGTAAAAATTCTAGCAAACCAATCATCAATGTAAATGAAAAATGATGGAGTTAAGGGCAGACCTTCTGGTTGAACATATCGAGAGTACTTTGTCCATTAGTCAACATTGCTGCAGCAATATAAACAGCCTTTGAGATTTTATAAGGAAACAACTCCATTGCATATGATATACATGCACCACCAAAATCATGACCCACCAAGATCACCTGCATGATTTAAGAAAAAAAAAAAAACAGAGAAAGTTAAATAATTAATATTTAAAGCAAAATTGTTTTAATAGCTTATAAACAATTTTAGAATCGGATAGTGTTCCTCCAAAATACAAATCCAAAGACCTGAGATTGAAAACCTAATTAATTGTACATGCTAAGAACAACAGCTAGTCATCACCAGTCTTCATTTTCCTCAAATAAATGCAGGTGTGACATAGTCTTCAGATATAACAGTGTAAGACACATATCTTGGTATGAGAATCATATATATCAATGCTTCACTTGTAACCAGTATTTCAAACGTTAACCAATATTATAAAGGATTCTATGCCACCATGAATCATGAATCTGAAGTTCTCTCATTTAAGAATTTGACAACTTTAAACTTAGCAATATAACAGCAAGCGTAATTAGATTTTGTTCATCTCTATACATGAAGAGCACAGATGTGCCACTATGAAGGTTGCATAGTCGATAGAATCCCATTGCAGGGGCATGTAAGCATCTCATAAGACTATTCAGGAACAGACTTAAAATTTATAAACAAGTTAAAAGCCCTTGCTTATACTAACTGTAAGATAAATCAGCATAACTAAAAGACAGTTATATAGTCTACAGCAATGCAATGAGTCCTGATGGTAACTTCCAGCCTTTCAAAGGAAACTCTCTAACTCAACAAACAGAAAGCTGAAAGAACAGCAAATATGACAATAAAGAGAGCAGTATGAAAAATGAAAGAACCTTTTCCCCATCGGCAAGTTTTTCAAGAAAATCAGTGAGTGGATTCACATATTGTGAGAGACTGGTAATGCCGTTTGTGTCAAATGAATTAATCCCTGAACCAGTTAAGTCTATGGCAGTAACTTTGAAACCACCTTCTTCCAAAAGTGCTATAGATTTATACCAGCACCAAGCACCAAAACCGCCTCCGTGGACAAGGACAAAATGGGTGGTTTCAAGATCATCAAGCTTGACGTCCTGTTAAAGAGAAAATTAGTAAGGAACTAAAAGGAATTTAACCATGAAAGTAAACAAAAATGACGAATTCAAGAAATTTGAAGGCAATTTTTCATGATTGCCTTCTTTTTATCTAGCATTAGAAAAAAAAATAGATAGACCAGATATGCATCAAAAGAAACCCCAGATTGCAATAAACATAAAGGCAAGAAAATTTAATGTATGCCCAGTACAGCTAAAAGAAATCAAGAAACTGTGAAATAAATGGCCGAAGACATCGATTCCATATCATTCACTGGAGGACAATCGGATTCAAAAAAAACATTGAGTTGGGACTTTAATTTCCATCATGGGGCCGGAGGTTGTTGAACAAGGTTTTCCCTGATAAGACAGAAAAGGAACACCGCAAATTTACCAAACTTTCCATGATAGAACTTGTTGAGCTACATGGTTCAACAAAAACTACAGAAATTTAAAGTGCCTACATGTGACAGTCATTGGAGCAGCCATTCTGCAACATGTTATGAGCTTAATCTGAGGTGCCACCGACTTAACACTAAATTGGTCAATTTGCTTCGAAAGTTTTACGTTAACGTACAAGAAAACCAAACACACCACCTAAAGCTTCAACCCAAAACAAACAAAAAAAAAAAAAAAAAATTTACCAAATTTAACAGAGATAAATAATTTCATGGAAGAAAAGCAAAACATTAATAATCATAATCCAAAATTACTATCTTTAGCATCTCTAACTAATCCAACGCAAAAATCCAATTTTTAAACTTTCAAAGAATCACAAATATCCCAAACACCAAACTCAACTCCAAAACGGCCACCTGATCAAATTAATCAAACCATGCAACAACACAACAAAACTTAGCAAACATAAAATCTTTAATTAAAATATATATATATATATATATCAAAAACTAAAACAATAACAAACCCGGTTAACAAGTTGATGCGGCTGCAAAAGCGGGTCAGTAAGAGACCGGGCACGAGAACTGGAGCTCCGAGGCAACTGGTTCTTCTTCGACCCGGAAGATCCATTCGGGTACCTTAACGAAGTTGACCGATTAAAAGGCAACCCACCAGCACCACCATTTTGTTGCTGGTGCTGACGAAACAATATGGCAGCAGCCAAAGCCTGCTCCTGTATCAAAGCATCATCAAGCTTATCTTTGCGAGACCCTGATCGGATCCTGCTCCACCGGTTACTTGAATTGGGTACCGGACCCGGGTTCTGCAACCGCTTAGTGGGTCTCTGTTTTCTTTTCACGGGCGTTTTGGGTGCCAAACAAGTGCAAAAGTTGCCCATTTGTGACCATGTCAAGAGGAAAACAAACTTAACATATATAAATATAAGTAGTTATAAAAGTAGTAGCTTACACGTAAAATAAATAGGTGATGTAAGTATCTTTTAGCAATGGGAGGTTAGTGTTTGTATAAATGTATATGAGAGAGAGAAAAGGTTGAAAAATTCAGGTGAAGGTTAGATGGTGATAGGTGAATGGTGAGGAGGTGAGGGCTCTGGTTGGAGGTTTTATAAGGAGTGGGAAAAATGTAAAGCTACATGTTTTTGAGTTGGCATATATTTGCCTTCGTGATTTTGGTGAATTTGCAAAGTGTCTTGTCATGTTTCGAAAAAAGTGTTGGGTGTGGACCCTGGTCTGGCTAGTGCTCAAGTGAAGACGAAGGATATTAAATTAAAGGTACGGTAGAATTTGGTATGGGTTCATTTCTTTTGAAACCAGAGTCTTTCATCGATGATCGGAAATGTTTGTCGGTGGGATAAAGACTTCATTTTTATCAAGTATATGAAAGAATTCGAATTTAGAAATTCTTTAAATCTTTTTTTATTTTTTTTACTATCAAATCATCTAATGATTATTGATCATGTAAAGATATTTATGAGGGGTTCCAATCAATTCTAACAAATATTTGAGGTTTATCTCTCTGATTGTCTCTAATCAATGAAATTAAGTAGTCTACATTAAAGTTACTATTCCTAGCTCAATTTGAATGAGAAATTAATGATAATGATTTGAGGAGGAAAAAAATAAAAATAATGATTAAATTAAGAGTAGAAAAGTAAATGAATATATGAGAAGAGTCTCATATAACATTCTTTGCATGTGTAATTGTAAATTTCAACGTTCTTATTTTGGTCAAAGGTCAATAGTTGAAGGGATTGGGAATTTGGGATAGTAAGGAGATTTCTAGGCAGGTGCATGGCTTAGTGTTTGATTAGGTTTTGTATTCTAATAGCAATTTGGAATGTGGACAAAGTTACCTAACTATCCTTACTAAAACAAATATTATGGTATCCAATGGGTATCAATCAAAACTAGAGATTTTGAGCTTGTATTTGATAAAACAAAAAACAAAAAAGTAATAATAAGAGAAAGGGATCTCGCAAAAACCCTTCTGTAATGATAGTCGAACGGTTAACTAGAATTCTTAAGTGTATTATTAAAGAATTTTTTAATTCAATTCACTTCGATTGTTAATAAAGATGGTCATTGAAAGCTTACCTGATTAGACTCCGGAGGATTAATTGAAGTATATGCAAACTGGTTCAACACCCTCTATCATAAAAAATAAAAATAGAAAGTACACAAATTTGAGTTTAATAAATTAATTACTTCATTTAATTGTTGGGTATTATTTATTTTAAGTAATTATGAAATGGGTATTACGGTATTAGTAGTTTACCAAACCCTAAATATTAATTTGATTTGCATGAACCATAATGATTCTCCAAACCCCAAATAAGGGAAAGGGACCTCGCAAAAACCCTTTTATAATTCTCTGTCATATGATTTACATTCACACCCAACAAGATTTTGGGTGCTATTTCTGCATCAAATTAAATGCATTAATTTCATTGGCATTTTCAGCCACCATTTTTATTTATTTGTAGACAACAAATTGGTTGGTTTTTATTACAAATTCGTGGTCCCTTTCTTTAATGTGCCAAGAATAATATTTTTATTATTAATAAAAAAAATTTTAAAAAAAAAAAAAAAAAAGAGCCCACCATTTATAAAGAAAAGTGCCATGCATAGAGCATCTTTCTTGTAGATGCGTAGGCTTTTTCGATTGAAATACTATATTAAGAATATATGCATATTATATCATCTTTATAAATAAATAAGTAAATTACTTATCCCTATGAATATTTTAAACTTGGCCTCCCATCCACTTTTCACTTTTCTTTTATTTATTTTACTTTTTTTTTTTTTTTTAAAGACTCATGCTATTTTATTTTATTTTATTTTCCTTTTATTATTATTATTTTTTTGCTAGCTTCCGAATGCAAATTAACTCTCTCAAACCCTTGTGGTAAGTTAGAAAATCCCCAAATTAAAGATCAAATATGAGAGGATTTAAGCTCAATAAAATAATTTATTTACTCGTTTGAAATAATATTACACAAAAATAAATGAGAAAATTGTGAGTCGTATGATGTAAATACTTACCATCTTGAATTGGCGAGATATCTTTTCTTAAAATTTGTACAAACAATTAATTAAACCGGTAAAATTAAATTAAATTTGCAGGTGGGCGGCAGGAAGTAGTTTAATTAATTAATATTATAAAATAAAAGCTACTTTTTGATTTTGACTCTCAAAAGAGAAGACAATTGGAATTTGACAAAGTAAAATATGTGGAAATTGAGATTAGGATGAGATTAACTTCTTTACTTGTTATATAATATCATATATGGAAACACTTCCATGAGTGGTATTATGAAGCATAGAATATAAAAGATTATTTATCAAGATAACAACTTTTTTAAAAAATCCAACATTAAAAAACCCATATCTAAAAGTGAGAATTTTCGCATAATAAATTTAAGATTTGTCGTAATTTTATTCGCACAATTATATCTGCTAATAAAATATGAATATGATTAGGAATTTTTATATTAGTATTTAAGTTTAATAGGCCATTTGAGTAGATCATGGATGGATTAGACGAACACATAGGTTTAATTGATTTGAGACCTGAGAGATCTTAAGACCTTTCACTTTGATATAAAAAAGTTATGCTTGGTCGTAAGGTTTCAACATTGAGATAAGTTTTATAACGTTGAATTATATTAAAAAGCAACACACATAAATTAAATATAAATGTCATTAAGTAAAGTCTAAATGAAAGGGAAATTTCACAATTTGAGAAGAGCCATGAATGTAAAAAGATGATGCATATGCTTTTCTTAGTCTACATGATAGAAAAAGCTATCTCTATTCACCATGTTGCACATGAAATAGCTTCATTTTATGAACACTTTTTCTTGTGAAAGCATTGGACAACAAAAGAAAAAGAAGAGAAAAAGGGCTTAATGTTATGCATATATAGATTGAAATTGAAGAAGGACAACAACAACATCTATTAATTGGGTTGGTTATGGGTCCCCAAGTCTTGTGGAGATCTTGAAAGGCTGAAATTGGGTATTGAATTTTAAGATATATATTTTTTTCTTTTCAAAATAGGATATTTGAGTAAGTTTGTGTGTACTTCAACTGATCCATGTAAGTGATTAGCATAACATTCTACCGTTATGATCACTTGCTTAAACCTTAGAAGTCAAGAGGATTCGAACCTAAGACTGTACAGCTTAACAATACATCCCAATGTTCCCTTACCATTTGAGCTATCCAAGGGTAGGTGGGTACTGAATTTTAAGATGTTTTGGTTTTAAATGTTAGATTGACTTTTGGTTTGGGGATTTTTAACTCTTCAGCAAGTGATGGGGGTGGTGGAAGGAAGGAAGGGAAAGTAGTGGTTAGAAGTTATTCAACTTTAATGCCTTTAAGTTTGAGGGTTACTCAGAATCCAGGTTTGTGTCCCAATTCACAGCTTTCTTTTTTGTTGTTTATTTTATTTTGATTGCTTGTTCTCCACTCATAATGGACATGGGTATTGGTACATTGAACTTTTATTGAATTCAAAATCTTAATCACAATGAATATATATTTAAATTCTAGCATATGATCATAATTATCTACCTTTAAAGTTTAACATAAGTCTTATAAAGCATCTTGTATAATTTAAGCAACCATTTATAAAAGTTAAAAAGTAATACTACACATACCATTTTTTTATACAATATGATGTGACAAAAGATAATTGGGTAAAAATTTATTTTTAATGTAAAATTAGTCAATTATCTTTTACTACATCATGTTGTATAAAAATATTATATGTGTAGTATTATGCAAAGTTAAAAATGATCAAACTCTTCTAAATTTTACATTTGAAAAAACGTAGCTCCGATTCAAACGTCTTATTCAAATTTAACAAGATAGAAAACGCTAAATTAGAAATGTTGACTTCAAAATTTAATCATTAATCTGAATAGAATAATATATCAGGTTACAATTCTAATTAATATAAAATATGAACAATACTACACATATACGGAGTTTATATAAAGTTTTCTATACGAAGATTTTGTATAGATTTTGTGTAAGTGTACTTATATATATTTGGTGAACAAATGTGTTGAGCTCAAAAGATAGCATTGTCTACAATTTGGTTTCGCAAAAGGTTTTTTATTTTTTATTTTTTTAACTAGAGTGTTAAGATCAGTTTGCGCACACTTTAACTAATTTTCAAGGTCTATTAAATACTTTACAAGCTTAAAGAACTAAGTAAATCATAATGTGATAGATGACTCTAAGATTTAAACTCAAGAACTTGATAAAAGGAACAAACTTTTTTGACCACAAGATCAACCCCTTGGGGTTGGTTTGAAAGAAGTTAAATGGGGAAGAATAGAATATGTAAATGAAAATCATTAAAGTATGAGAAGTGAGAAGCAAACCCAAGAAGAAAGTTGATTTAGGAGATGGAAGATAGGACCACAGAGTCTTTGTAATCTGAATAATATGATGCATGATGTCATGTGCACATGATCCTAGTTGATCCTGGATCTTAATTTGGCATGCTTAAAAGATAATAGCTAATTAATTACTAATTACCTTGATTAACAAGTACATAAACCAACTCAGTGATGCTTGTGCCCCCCATTTGAACAGTGGTCCAATCTGCCAAAACATTTTGATCCATCAAGACCTCATCATGATCACTGATGGGTTTGAAGAAGAAGAAGAAGTAGTGGAGAAGCACTTGGAATGGTTTAAAGTTTAGAGGTTCCCATCATTAAAAGTAGAAAAAGCCATATGCAATTTACAAACCAAACCCAAAGATATTGCTTTAGGCAAATGGGTTATTGTTGCTTTGCCTTTATCTTTGGCTTCTGGTTTTTGCCTTTATAGCTTAAGATGCATATGCTCTGCCTTAATTTTGGTCACTTAGATCCTTCTGTTTCTTTTCCCTCATCATAATAATTTTTACTTTGTTGATTTTGATCCGGGTTTATTTTAATTATCCGAAATTGTTTATTATGAAACACGTTTATTGTTATTAGAAATTATTAAGTAACTTATTTCAGAGATTTTTAATATTTTTATCACGGGCTTTTTGTTTTTTGTTTTTATATCCCTAGATGTGTTCGTATTAAATGATATAATATGAAATGAAATCAACCCTTTTGACAAACAAATAGTCAAAAAATTCAGTTCATTCTTCTCTCTCGTATCATGTATATTTTGTTTTTTACCATGGTTTAACTCTTGAAGCACTATATACTTATGGGCGTAGTATTATATGATATTTCACTAAGTTAGATGGTGAAAGCTTCAATAATTTTGTGGTTACATATGTTGATAGTAATGCGAATTATTCAAGTAATATAATGAAAAGTGAAAAAGAGTACCATTTCTATAAGATATTCTTTAAAATATATAATAGCATGACCCAATGACCAAATAACAACATTGTTAATGTTTTAATTAAATAAATCCAGTCTTCCATTGCCAATCAAACCAATATCATTTTGACTTCAAATTTTTGCGTCATCTCTTGATATCTCAATTTCATCTTTCTTTAGGGTTTAGGGTGACTCATATAGCAAGCCCAATTAGTAATAAACTTTGGTGCGCTGGCTGATTGGGCCAACCCATGTTGCAGTTATGTAGTCCGACCCTAATTGGAGTTTGAATGGGTCAGAGTCCTTAATACGATGACGCTTTAACGGTGTCACTGTCGGAACTAACATTGTCTAAGCCACGTATAGAATACAATATGAACGCTACCGGGGATATAAAACGCTTTGATTCCTCTTGTCTCTGTCCCTTTCTCTGTTTCCTCATTATGTAATCGTACGCCCCCGCGCGCGCGCTCTCTCTCTCTCTCTCTCTGACAAGTCAAAAGCCTTCTTTACGTTGGACCAAATCATTCTCCACGCAAGGACAAACCATGAGATGACTACGTTGTTTTCTCGTCTCAATGCCATTGCAGTTGAATTTCTATTTTTCCATCTTTCTTCTCCACCCAGTACGCCAACTTATTATAAATTCAGCATTTTGCATTGTTTCGACTCCAAAGATTGTAGCTTTCTGGCATAGCTAAGGTTAGTGTTTGTGTTTGTGTTTTCTTTGTTTTAGGAATTAACCCATGTCATAGTTGCATGTTTTTATGGCTATTTTCTTGCCAATCAAACAGTGATTAAAATCTCATGTTGCTACTTGTATTGATGTTATATGTTTGTATGTTGTTGATTTGGCATTTTATGTGGATGTTTATGTTTGAATGAAGTAATGTTTATGTATTCTTTCGGATTGTGTGGGATTAAGTTGTAGACAGAATTAAATTATTTGAATTGAAGGTCCATAATTTTGTAGTTAATTGTTTAAAAGTTTACTAATAATCCAAGTTAATATTGCGCCAACGGCAAAATTGTAATCCAATTACATTTAAGGGAGTCAGAGCTCAGAAGTTTGATAGCAGGCGTATTATTCTTGGAACGAAATTGAGTATTTGAGTGGTGGAAGATGTATTTCTTCTGAAAACTTGACTGCAAGACAAGTCTTACAATTGCAGAATTCTTGTTGTAGATTTTTTACCATTGAAAAGTTTGGTGTAGATGGAATTAGAATAAGCAATTAAGTGTTAAGGTGTCTAGTTTAGGTAGCAAGCGTGCTAAGGGTTTATTCATATATCTAATTTAATATAATTTTGGTTTTTGTCTTGTCATAGTTGAATAGGCAGTCACAGACATTCTTGATTAGTAGCATAACTGACTTATGTTAAGCAAGTGAGTGTGAGTAAGAGCTGCAACTTTCTAGAATACATTAAGTTCTGGGAAGGAGATTTTTAGTTTTGGCTTAATCAAATATCTTTTATTTTCTTGCTCTTAATTTTTGAAGTCTCTGTATAGGTTCATATAATCTCTCCATTGCCAAAGTTGCCTGCTAGCTGTGTTTATGATAGTCTGATATGTAAAACTGAACTGTAATTTCAGGTTCTGATATTTATTCCACTTGGTTTTCTCTCATTGGAAGCTTATTTCTGTCTTTGTGGTGTAGAATTACAGTGAATCGAAAGGGAATTATTAAGGAGGCTATAGAACATGTGGAAACTGACTCAACTTGACAAATAAGAGAAAAATCCCTTGATAGTTTGAGGTTTTGAAGAATACTGATTCTTTTCAATGTCCAGGAGAGAAATGTGGGATACTCTTTTTGGAATTGATTCAATACTTCAGCTTCCATTTGTAAGAACTCTGAAGACAGTCATGGATGCAGCCAAGAGAAGCATCTTTGAGGCTGAAAACAAAGAGGAGATAGAGAAGCATAACCAGCTAAAACATATTCCTGCTAATGATTTTCATGCCGATCTTGGTCTCCCCAATGTGGATCAATCGAATAACATGTCGACTCTAAGTCCATCAGATGAAAAAAACAGTGCAGAAAAGGTTATTTTGTCAGAGGCCGATAAAACTCAAAATTCAATTTGTGCTGTTATCAACAGAGAGGATAGCCTTTCAGAAATTTTTCATTCCTCACCATTAAAAGCACCTATCAATGATTTGAGAAAAAAACTTCTTGTTCTTGATTTGAATGGGCTGCTAGCAGATATAGTTTCTCCTCCGCCAAAGAACTGTGAGGCAGACATAAACATTTCAAGACGTGCAGGTGTGATTGATAGCGAATTATCAGTTAATACATTTAATGTGTCTTTAATGATTGACTGATCAAATCAGATTGGCTAATTTCTTGTTTCAGTTTTCAAGAGACCCTTTTGTGTTGATTTTCTGAGGTTCTGCTTTGAGAGATTTGAAGTGGGTGTATGGTCCTCAAGAAACAAGTATTGTTCTAGTTTTGACCTTGCATTCTGTTTTCTATTTGTGATTTCATCACTTTTTCTTTCTTTGTCAAGTTGGCTTATCTTTTTATGGTGTAATTATATTTGCATATCAATAACTGCGGCATATCAATTTTTTGCAGGAAAAATGTGGAAAGAGTGGTTGATTTTTTGATGGGAGATATGAAGCACAAATTGCTATTTTGCTGGGTAGGTACTTACCATTTTGCAAGGAAGAAAAACTGAATCAATGAAGTACCCTTGAGATCAACATTAAATTTTGATATGATATATAAGAAATTTTGACACAAACTTGTTGAGTTTTTGCATGTGATCTCATTGTCTTAACCATCACTGCACTCATACATGCAAGAAACTCTGTTGATGGATGCTTTATAGGTTATTAAACATTTTTTGTCTCAGATTACTGGAAATAGCTCAAACCATGATCTTTTTCTTTCTAATTATGCATATCTACTCTAAACAAACTTTCAGGATCAATCCCACTGTACTGCTACGCGTTTAAGTACTCTTGAAAACAAGCATAAGGCCTTGGTATTTAAGGAATTAAGGAGAATTTGGGAGAGGGATGATCCTAATCTTCCTTGGAAGAAAGGAGATTATCATGAAACAAATACATTGTTGTTGGATGATTCTCCTTACAAAGCTCTGCTTAATCCTGTAATTTATTGACTCCTTGATTTCCCATTGTTTTAGGCCATTCATATTTTTTTCTCATATGATTTTGAATTCATGTATTAATTTTTTTTCTCTAAAATTGTTTTAACATTCATCTGACAGCTGTACACAGCAATCTTTCCTTGTTCATACACATTCCGAGATAAGAGTGATAATTCATTAGGTAAGATGTCATTTTGACTTGATCTACTGTTGTTCTGTTTTCTAGGATGCAGCAAATTGTTGACTACCATAGCCACAGTTTTTCATCCTTATCATCACACAAGGTTGTGGAATACCTGATCTTGTACTCATAATTATTTCAGGAAATAGAACTAGTGAGTTGCTAGGATACTTGTCATATATAATACATATAGGATTTTTGCTTCGTTTTTTTTTTTTTTTTTGCCAAAAAGTTTGATGTTTCTGATTGTCTTCTCTGATATTTTAAAGTATATTGTTGATTAAAAAAGCAAATGATTAAGAAATAATAATTGTTCTTGCTGGTAGGTCCTGGAGGTGATCTCAGAATTTATCTGGAAGGGCTGGTCCAAGCTGAAAATGTACAGACATTTGTAGAGCAACATCCATTTGGTCAAAGTGCCATCACAGAAAGAAGTGAATCTTGGGACTACTACCTCCTAGCTATTAATTCAGTACCTCACTTTCCATCTACAATTTAATGTTAATCTCAGCAATTTTGGTACATAGTTCTGCTGGCTGAACAGAGTGTTGAGCTTAAGCAGATTATAGACATAGTAAAAAGAAAAAAGTTGGGTGGAGGGAGAAAGCAAGTTGGCATGCTTTTTAAAATTACCAATTTTTGCCTGACATAATGGAGTATTCTTTCATACTATTACGTCATAGTATGCGTTAGTTTTTATGCGCGTGCATTTTTTTGGGGAAAATGGTGGCATAGAATGTTGTAATTGATCTCATCGTGGATCAATCTTGTGGAGAAACAACCACCATCTAATGATATTGTTGTTGTTATCAATTCTATTTATTTCATATTTTGAGAAATACATATTTGTTTGTCAATCCTCATCTTAGATACCCACTTTATCATTTTATCTTAATAGTTCAGTTTGCAGCACACAGACAGATTGAATTGAATTGAGGAGTAATTTCAGTTTCACTTTGCATACTGTAGCCCCTAGAAAGCTAGAATGTCCAGATAAATATGCCAAAGCCCACTGCAGATTTAGCAATTCGGCCCACTTCAATAATTTCTAGACTGGCATTACCGCGTTAATTAATTTGTTGAGGTTGAATGGACCATCACTAGAGCATACACAAGGGGATAGTATGAAACATGCGTTTTAATAAGAAAACGACCAAAACAGTTTATCTGTCAACATAAGAAACTAATGGTGTAGTTTCATTTGGATGGGTATGGAAATTGCACTGTGACAGCTTCCTGCATTGATTAAGCCACATGACAGGAATCAATGTATGAGTACGACGGCATATATTTTCACACTACGGCCACTGACTAACCTCCGATAAGATGTGCCAAAGCTGCTGACAACATTTTCTGTTACAACTCATGACTTTAAAAATCATGTTATTATGTTCCCTCCCTCATTTTCTTCTCTGCACAGAGATTTGGTATTGACTCTTAACCTTATAGGACCCAGTGAAACCAACTCCTCTTGTATTATTATTATGATTCATTGTTACTGTTAAGAAACTACTTAACCCAAAAACTTAAATGGGGTTAAGCTAAGTATTTTGGTCAGAGATATTATTTGGGGGGTGTGTGAGGTGTCTTTCTGCAAATGAATTAATCTTTATTTCCCAGAAGCAGGATGGACTTGAAAACCCCAGTTGATGAACTGGGTTTGCATGTGCAGAGATAATTTAAGATTCTAATGAACTGGCAATTTGATTGTGTGGTTTGTTCTTGACTTTTTGTGACTGTCAAATATTATATTCATTCATGCAATGCAAGCTTTGCATCATCAGGAAAATCAACACTAATATTTTAGTAGCATAATTGGGTTCTTAGTACACATGACACTGATTAATAATTTCGATCATGAAATGACTTTACGTCTGCAAGTTTAATACCTTTAAATCACAGCTCCATTAGGTTTCATTACTCACCTGTATATTTCACCATGTTCTTCCTTGAATTAGCAAAAACAACCTAGAACTTGCTGTTCATTTATTCTGCTTCATTGTTAAGTAAGTATTACCAGAAAAAGAGGGTACTTTTCAACTCCTTTTGCAGGAATTCGTACGCCCTAAGCTTAGATCTACAAGATTTTTTCAAGCTATATAACATTAACACTCTCATGTAAAAGCTGGTGGATAAGATGGAATCTTGACTTGCCCTACATAATCCTCTCAACATGAAACAATCCCTTGTTTAATGCTCACACAACACAACACAACACCTTTATGAAACTCCACAGAATGTGAACAGGAACCTGCCTAGCTAGCTTTGATTTGCCTTACAATTAATCAATAGTTTTAAATTGTGATAATCCTTTTCTTGTTGACCTAGAAAACCCCACTAAATAATCCAAGTGGGGTAATGATTCACATGGAGATTTGGTGGGAGACATAATGTGGGAATCATGTAAGGTAATGGTGGTAATTGCCTAACGTTGGAACCTAGTTTTAGGATGAAGAAGAAGATAGAGATTTTAGCTTAGTTTTAATTGGTCGCATTTTGAGGAAGATGTGATTGTGATTGTGATGTGATCTTCTCCTTTTTGCATGTGGCTCTGCTCCCTTTTTTCTATACTTTTTCATTCCAATTTTCTTCTTCACCCTCTTTTATTAACATTGCATGTGTTCTCTCATGGATAAGGTACTCTCATGGATAAGATATTATGTATAATCAAAACTCTTATATGGGTTAACTCCCGAGGGTTAGTCTAGCGGTCAAGAAAGTTTACTATTTTTATTAATTTTTTGGGTTCGAACCTTGAGATCACCTATTATATTTGTGGCTTTTCTTGAAACATTGGGTTTGTAGGGTATTTAATAGTACCATGGATTAGTTGAGGTGCGTAATCCCTATCAGATTTGTGACTTTCCTTAAAATATTGGATCTGTAAGGTATTCAATGGGTCTTGGAGATTATTTGAGGTGTGTATAAGTTGATGATCACCTATCATATTTCTAACTTTTCTTGAAACATTGGATTTGTAGGGGTATTTAATGGCCCTATGGATTAGTTGAGGTGCGCAGTCCCTATCATATTGTGACTTTCCTTAAAACATTAGATTTATAGGGTATTCAACGAGTCTTGAAGATTATTGGAGGTGCGCATAAGTTAGATTTGGATACTCCAATTTAAAAAAAAAAAAAAAAAAAGAAAAGAAAAAAGGAATTCTTATATGGGTTGTTTACATTTCTTAATTTTGGAGAAAAATATGTTGTAACTGGGTTTCCTTTATGGGTACAGATTCCAATTGGGTTTCAATTTTCAATCTGGCATTAGGATTTAAACAAAAGGGTAAAGTATTTGAGTGATAATGAATTTATTATGGTGTTGTTTAGGCAATGTCACTCATAGTACTAGAAGCTAATTATAGAACCCAAAAATGTACCATCCATTCATTTATTATTATTAATAATGATATGAAAATGGTCCACCTTAATCACTTAATTTTTGCCTAACCTCTTGAAATTTAATAATACAAGAAAAAGTCTGATTAATTCCTGAAATTTATACGCCCACAGTTTCAGCAATTAAACATTTTTTATTTTTGTTTCTATAATAGCGGCTTTTTTTGTTTTCTTGTTTTTGAGGTGTCTAGCCAGCTTGTATTCACCACAATAATTTTTTGAGACCCTAAAATTGATGATATGATAAACTTCTCAGTGACTATTCCTATTAACGTCTGTAAAGACTTAAATTTAGAAACTCATAAAACTTTTTTGTTTTTACTGTTTTATCATCAAGCCGTCCAGTGGTGTGTGGTTTCTTTTGAAAGCTTATGCAGCCCCTGAATCATACCTTGATCTGTTTTATTTTATTTATTTTTCCCTTGTATTTTAATATACTAGTTGTTTTTATTTTAAAAGTAAACTTAATTTAATAATAAATAACTTATTATATTAATAAAGTCCGTGGTACAACGCATTGGAAAAGCAGAGCACGTGATTCCATCTTCCTTTCAATCTAATATCCTTAATTAATTAATTATAATAATATAAAAGCAAAGTCAATTTTTCATTATTTTTAAAAGATTTTCCTTCCATAAGATTATATTATAAAGTTTGAGCTCTGAATTCTAAGTATAGAGAATGGTGCAATAGCATTTATAGCCTTTGTTACATGAATTTTAAGTTATTAACTTCATCATCTTTATTTCAATTATTTTATTTTATTATTGTCAATCTAACAAATAAAGTGTTAAATTTTTACCTTGTGATAAAAGTGAAATTCTTGTGTATAGCAGGTAAAAAATATTGAGAAGTATAGTCAGAGATGACTTAATCATGATAAGCCTCTGTCCGTTTTTCAGAAAAGGAATTAAAAAAAAAAAAAGTTTTTTACTTTACTTTTTTTTTTCTAATACCGAAGTGTACGGGATAATTTACACGTACCTCGATTAATTTTTTAGACTCATTGAACATCCAATAAACCTAATATTTCAGGAAAATTATAAATTAAATTTATGGTAGTAGCTCCAAGATTTGAACCCAGAATATTAACAAAAGAAGCAAATCTTCTTGATTGTCAGACCATTCCTTCGGGTTAATATACCTACATTTTTTTTGTATTAATAAATTGACATGGCCAGCTAACTTTCATCTAGCTGAAAAGGGTATCCTTCGTATTCTCAAAATTCTAAAGATCTAAACATAAAATAATAATATGGTATTTTCATAAACATATAAAAAAATGTTGATGGGATTTTAACTATGGGATTAAATATTTTGTCTATAGTTTTCAAAGTGATAAATAATTCGATAAGAAGGTACAAATAATGATGTTAGATAAACAGAGAAGAAGATTTTCTGTGTCTGTCTCTTCCTGTTAATCTCTGGAATTTTAGAAGAGAAAATATATATTTATATTTAATTTACATTCCCCAAATGTGTATATTGATTAGATGCCTTTTGGAATAATTGTACTTGGTTTAGTAAAATTGCAAACAGAGAATTAAATGCATTTCATAAATTAGGTCGGACCCCCACTTTCTAAATCTTAAATATGCTTAAATTTCTGATAATGGTTAGCAGATAAGAGAGATAGAGATGGATTTATATTTCTGGGATTTGGATTCATTCAGTATATTTCTTAGCTGTTTCCAATGGTTTGCTTCAATCTTTTTATAGATATTTTTATTTGCATCTTTTCTAATTCTAATTGAAAATGATAGGACACTACCATGTCAAGAGCATTTTGGTAATATACATTTTTTTTTTTTTAAATAATTTCACGAACTCATTTTATGGATCCGAGTTTTTGACAACTCTGTAGACTGTAATCTTTGAAAAGTGAAAAACAATGACCTTTAACTTTACTCAACTGTTCAATTAATTTTTTTATGATCGGGGTGTCCGAATCAATTTACGCTTATCTTAACTAATCTTTTGAAACCTTAAAACTATCGGTCGGATAAGAGTTTCAGTGACCACCCCTATTAGCAACCGTGAGGACTCAAACTAAAGAGACCATATTAAATTCTTCTCTTGATTTTTTTACGAGACTCAAACTTAGAAAACCATATTAAATTCTGTTTTACTCTTTTACCATAAAAAAAAACAGGGGTGGTTATCAGTTAACTCTTTAGGTTCTTCAATTTCCTGGTGAAAAGATTTTTACCCTAGTCATGGAGAGAGTGTTATAATTTATGATGCAGAGTGTAGGTTCTATGAATTACAGGCTAAACCTCTTGAAATAGAAATGGAAGATACCTTCCAAGGTATTACTGTCAGGTTCTCTGAAACTGTTTTGTCTTTCCTGTAGAATTCTGGAAACCTAAGCAGTCAAACAACTTATAGCATTGATCTCTAGACTTAATTAAAAATAAAAATTACCAGTCTCATTAATTTTTTTTTGATTTTTTTATCCGAGCAATCTATTAACCTAAGGTAGAGGCAGACATAGCAAATATGCTTTGCAGTGGTATAATAAAAACAATCAGGCTATGAGAAATTACAGAAACATTGTAGTCACAGTGAAGGAAGGATTGGGCTCACTATTAATTACAGTTAAGTTTCTAGAATTATCAACCGCTACCAGAAGAGAAAATTAGCAGAGAGAAAAAAGTAGAAAATATGGTATACAGTTATACACTACAGGTCTCCAGGGAAAATGAGAACGAAAGTGTATAGGAAAATTATACACATATTTTCCCTAATAGTCCAAAACTGACAGTCAAAACTGAAAAGATTAGGAATCTGTTGGAGGGATTGGTTGAAAAGAGTGTATAGAAATTAGAGCTGTGCAGACTTTCCAGTACATAAATCCACTTTCTTATTTTTTTCACTACCTGACAGACTCCACATGAGAGGTCCAGAATACAGACCCACCAACATTATTTTGTCCACATGGAAATGGTAGAAATATGACCATAAACTTCACCAGATCTAATCATCACCCACACATCTTCTTTTTTCTAAACTTAAACTAGTAATATACTTCAGGATTATTAGACAAATACTCATTCATTCATTCTCCTCATTGAGATTTTCACATGCAACTCATATAAAAATGAGAGAGAGAGAGAGCCAAAAGGCAGTGTGAGGAAACCGCAAAAACATCTCTTCTTGGGGCTGCAAAACTTCCCTGCAGAACTCTCATTTGTTAGTCCTTCAAAGGTGGGGGCTAGTTGGGTAACTGTTTTTGTGTAGGGTCCCTTGATATTTCATCATTTTTGTTCCTTTTGGCTTTCGCAGAGGATATTGTCTGCCTAATTCTGTGAAATCCAAAAACAAATTTTATCTAACTCCTCTCCTCATGGTTAAAGAAAATAATGTGGGGCTCTGTGTATCTCTCTTTTCCCTTTAAATCACCTCCTTCATTCTCCTGTGTCATTCACAAAATTCTCTGAAACTAGTAAAGATAAAGAACTCTTAAAGAAAAAGCCTGTTAAGTACTTATTGCATAGAGAAAATTTGCCTACCAAAGCAACGGTTGGTTTTAACGTGTGAGTTGCTGTGAAGATGTTATCATATATGACCTCTCACCTTTGAATAGTTTATGCTAACTTTATGTCAGTGAATGATGTTATGTTTTGAAGCTCTAGTACAAAACTTGATGATATTTCTTCCAGGTCTCATTTGTTCTCAGAAATGGGACGTTGAAACCACTGAGGGAGTATTGTAAGCTGCGAAAGTCTTGAAATTTTCTTGTTTGTTCAATTGAAGAGAGGGTGTTTAAAATGTCTGCAAAGCTTCTACATTCAATATCAGATGAAAATCCAGATCTGCAGAAGCAGATTGGATGCATGAATGGTATCTTTCAGCTCTTTGACCGCCAACATTTCCTGAGAGGCCGGCGCATCCACCAAAACCAGAAGAGGCTTCCACCTGGTATTTCCTTTTACATTCATGGAGATATCTCATTTCAAGTTGTCTAAATTTAAAGTCAATAATGTACTTTCTTGGTTGGTTTCTGCACAAAAGTACGGTTATAGTTTGTGTTGCTCTATGTTTCTTTTACCAATTTCTATAAAGTCGAAGCATCTTAGAGATAGCAGTTGTGTTTGTTTCAGTGATGTGTTTCATATCTTTTGCAGAAGATTAGTTTACGTTCTTTTAAGTTTTGTGTGAATAATTCAAAGTTATTAATTTCTTGCTCTTCTTCAACGAAAGGGCACATATATATATATCAACAAGGACTCCTACTTAACTGTTTGCATAAAATTGCCCAAGTTTAACACGAACAGACTTGAGCCCATTTTGTGAAATACTACGTTTTTTTTTTTTTTTTTTTTGTTATTATTTGTCCATTTTTTTCTACTTTTGGTTTTCTGGATTTAGTTATTTAATTTCATTATCGCCGTTCTAGAGTTCTTCTGCACTGGAAGTATTGTCATAGCTCTGTCAATATTATATTCAGATGAAATTACTTTGCAAGCTTGAATGTGTACTCAACTACTTGTATTTCTAATTTCTATTTCAAGAACTCATAGTTGCGGTTTTCTCCAGGTCAAAAAGATAACCATGGAACAAAGTCCAAGATTGCATCACAGCCACCAACAGTAAGGATTTAAATCCTTAATTATTTCATCCCTGATGGTAATTGAAATTACTGAAGTTAATGTAACTAACAATTGCAGGAAAAACATGTCAAGAAGGCCATGAAAGAGAAACAAAAAGTCTCAACTGAATCGTCCAGAACCTCATTTTCATCTTCCTCTTGTTCATCCAGTTTCTCATCTATAGACTGCAATAAACAATCACAGGCAGAACCAGCTTCTTATGGCCAGTCATATCTAGCACCAACCCCTGTTCGAGAATTGCCCATATACCAACCAAATGATTCTTTGCAATTAAGGCGGCAACCTGTTGATATCCGAAATGTTGTAAAAGACTCTATGTACAGAGAAGCTCGCGGGGTATCAATTAAAACTCAAACCAAAGAGAATGCTGGGGGACAAATCTTGAAATACATGGATTCTCCAAGGCCTTTGCAGCAGCCAAAACCTGTCAAGTCCAGATTCTCGGGTGTCAATGAAGAATTTCGGGTTCTTGGTAAGCTGAGAGAAGTACCGAGGAAATCCAGTGAACATAAGGATGGTTTTGCAGTAAAGGATGCTCCTCGGTTCTCTTATGATAGTCGGGAATCACGTGAGGCATTTAAATCCACCATGAAGCTGAAAGAGCTCCCAAGACTATCACTTGACAGTAGAGAGCGCTCCATGAGGGGCTCGACTGCTGAAATGAAATCAAATTATCTCCTAGGTGACCTGCAGAGGGGTAATTGCAACTCTCACGATGTTCTGAACCAACAGCAAGAACCAGGAAGTTACAAAGGACCATCTAGTGTTGTAGCAAAGTTGATGGGATTGGAAGCTTTTCCAGATTCAATGTCAACTGATGGGAATCAGCCGGGTCATCGGAAAACAGCCTCATATGGTGAAGGTGATTCCTTCTCAAGAATTTCAAGAACTGCTGATAGCAACAACCAAAATCGAACAGGTGGATCCCCAAGGAATTCTACAAAGGAACCTGCATCACCGCGGATGAAAAATGCTGTTTCAGTTAAGAAGCCCATTGCAAGCTGCAAGGTTCCTATAGAGCCTGCTCCATGGAGACAATTTGATGGGAGCAAAGGTCAAGTACCAGCTTTAAAGAGTCGAGAAACTCAGACTAATGCCCCAAACTCCTCTCTTTCAGTTTATGGGGAAATTGAGAAAAGGTTGGCACAACTTGAGTTCAAAAAGTCTGGGAAGGACCACAGAGCTCTTAAACAAATACTTGAAGCTATGCATAAGACAAAAGAGGTGTTAGAAAGCAGAAAAGGAGATCAAGCTCCAACCTTTGTGCCTCGAACAGCCAATAACGACAATATTGATCAGAGCTCAAGATTGACAAATTCAAAAAACCAAAAAGGTGTTAACCCAGCATCTGCCACATTCAGAGGGACCACTTCTCCAAGAAGTTTTAAATCCCCAATTGTGATTATGAAAGCAGCTAAATACATCGAAAAAGCCAGTTATTCTGCTTCCTCGGTAACTCTACCTGAGAATTTATCAGGTCTCCAAAGACTCCGCACTGGTGAATCTTCAGATGGCAGAACAGATTCTGTTGACAAGCAAACAGCTAAAGATCCAACTCCAAGAACTATTCAACAGAGGGAACCTTCGAGCCAACAACTTCATCTTATAAATAAGAATGCCAATGCCAAAACTTTGAGATCAGCACAAACTTCAAAGAATCCTCAACTTACAGCTGGAAAAAGCAAGTCAAGAGCGAGCTCCGAACCCATGAACCCAAGACTGCAACAGAAGAAACTTGTGTTGGAGAGGCAATCTCATTCCACAATGTCATCAGATTTCAGCAAGACTACAAGGCAATCAATAGAATCAGGTTCTCCACATAGGAAATCTAGATTGCAATCGTCACAGGTGCAGCAAGGTGATGACCAAATGAGCGACATCAGTAGTGATGCAAGAGATTTAAGTCACCAATTTGATGCTAGTTCTCTCCAGTCTGAAAGCAATATCAGCACAGCCTCGCATGTGGACATTGAAGTCACAAGCATTGATAGATCTCAGAAGATTCATGGAGGCTTCTTCCAGCAACATGGCCAAAAAGTATGCATTAACACTTTTGCTTATTCCGAAATTAAATTATATAGATCATTCATTAACAATTTTCATTTCTGTCATTCAGGATCCAGCACTGAGGTATAACGATGACAGGTCAATGGCAGAATCTACAAAAACTGGTCCAGAACAACCAAGTCCTGTCTCTGTTCTTGATGCAACATTCTACAGAGATGACCCACCTTCTCCAGTGAAAAAGATATCACATCCATTTAGAGGTGAGTCTCTCATATCATTTACACTTCACTACATTAAACTTGAATTGATTTAAAGATTCATCGTTTGAGATGAGAATAAAACAATGCTACAGTGATCAACACATTCCCTAAATCAATAAATATTGAAAAGGGATTAATTCAGTCTAAATTCTAACAAACAGCATGAATGCAAACAAGATTGCTCTTGAAAAATACTTTTATATCCATCAGAAGAACAATAACTTCAATATAACTATTGCAAATAAAAAATAATAATAATAAAAATATATGAAATATAGTAGTTCTGGCCTGACTTTAACCTGATCTCCCAACTTAGCAGCTAATATAGGTTCTATCGTCTTGCCTCAACGGCCAGCAGATGACATGGGTTCAATCTTACTTTAGAATAGTAACTGCTGGTTCACACAGAAAAGTTTAACTCCATTTTTTTGTGGCATTTAAAAGAATTAAAGAGGATTATAACGTAGGAATAGTACACAGATCATACCAATAGACAACAAGAATTGTTAACTGCACACACTTCAGTCCTTACATTAGCCAAATATAAAAGAAACTTAGAAAGATTTAGTAGGCAGATTATAACAATAAATGACTAGAAAATACAAATTAACTTGTCAGCAGACGATAACAGGGAATGCTGAGCAAATCAAGACAGAGAACTACTCATTGCTATAGCCATATTTGTGGCAAGATCAAAAACTACTTCATGTATTGATTTTTTTTATTTCTTCCTACAGATGTTGAGGCCGTGAATTCTAGTGAACAAGAGTGGAATCTAGCAGACCTAAATCACTTATCCCACTGCAAAAAACCCAGTTTCAGCTCTGAGGATTATAGAAAAGTAGAAAACACTCAGCACTTCGTTCCGAATCTTATGCATATAATCCCCAATCATGAGAAATCTATCATTGATGAAATTGCACCCATCCATGAAAGCACAAATCCAGACCACCGATACATTTCAGAGATATTGCTAGCATCAGGTCTCCTTAGAGATTTTGAAGCTAGTATCATGACTATTCAGCTTCATCCATCGGGCCACTTGATCAATCCTAATTTGTTCCATGTTTTGGAACAAACCGAAGTTAGCTCCAAGCTTTTAAACAATGAATACGAAGGTATGAAGGTTATCCATTCAGAACCTAATCCTGAGAAAGCTCGGAGGAAACTAGTATTTGATGCTGTTAATGAAATTCTAGTCCAAAAGTTGGTGTTGGCACGTTCTTCCAAGCAATGGTTCTCGGCCAGTAAGGCTACAAAAGGATCACGAAGGCTGCAGCTTCTAAGAGATCTGTGTTCAGAGGTAGATTGTCTACAAGTTAAACAATCAAACTGCAGCTTAGATGATGAGGATGACAGTTTAAGGCAAGATCTTATGCATGGATCAATGAACTGGACAGGTTACAAGAGTGAAATTTCATGGATAGTTTTGGATGTTGAGCGGTTGATCTTCAAAGACTTGATAAGTGAGATTGTGCGACATGAAACAACTGGTTCACAAGGTCAGCCTGGTAGGCATTGCAGGCAGCTGTTTTCCAAGTAGTGTTCTTGATAAAATAGTTTTTAGTTTCCTCTCATCTTCTCATCTCTCTCACTAATTAGAGGAAAAGAGTTTTAAAAGCTTGGTTGTTTTGATTTTTATGTCTAATTTCTTCAGGATTAAATCAGAGTAATCCTAGGTTGTAAATTGTGCCTTAATAACCATGTAAATCTCCACTAGGAGCTTATAACATACATGTAAACTAGATATACACCTAAATATAAACTTACTTTCTCTGAATGTCATTCCAGCCATGCTCTTGAATAAATAATATGCGACAGGGTTGCAGCACTTTCTACTGTTACTACTGCTGTCAGAAGAAGACACAAAAGAAAGATGTTTTGTTAAGTATTAGCTCAACATGTAAACTGAGCTAATCCATTCGCTTTCAGCTAAAATAACACACCCCTAGCTGATATTTTCTGTACACGAACACCTATATAAGATCTGCCTAAACAATTATGTTCAGAAGCTATAACACACCACCAAAATGTTGCTAAAATGTTTTTACCACAAAATATATTGATTGAAATAAGGCAAAGCCAATGGTTAAAATAAACAAAACAGAACAAAGATGTCCTAGAAAGCCACTATCTTATCAGGTAAAACACACAACCAGCCTAACTCACTACTTTCAGAATACCCATAAGATCTGCTAAAAAATTACTTTCAGGAGCTGCAACTACCAAAAGGTTGCCTTTACCTTTCTCTTCCATTCACCGGTAAACTATATAATCACCATTTGGTAGTAGTAAGGTAATGTCAATGGTGAAAATAAAGATAAAAAGTGTTCCCAACAGAAAAACCTCAGCACAATTGACAGTAGGCCCAACTACATCACATGACATCCAAGAAGGCAAGAGTTCATTTCCATAAAACTCAGAATTCCAAATGCAGTAGCACCACTAAATTCTACAATTAATGGACCTCTTCTTGTTGAGAGGAGTCACAAGCTAAAACTATGCAAGAAAAACGATCAACAATATACTTATACAGAACATAAGACCGTATTTCATTCAACTTTTTATTTAAAGAACATAAGACCATATTCAGTCAACTAATATTTAAAGAACATAAGAGTTTGTCCCCCAATTAAGATCAGCTACGTACTACATACATCAAAATAATCTTTTTTTTTTTTTCAAAATGATGACTGCATAAATGTAACTCTCAGACAAAATATTTAGATGCAAGAATTCAAGAACTCAAGAAGCTATGCTATGGGGAAATTTATGATTGGTAAACACAAGAGTTTTAACAAAAATACATTCTTCACACTCATGCATCTGTCAGAATAGTGATATGATCCTTTGAATGAATACCTCAATAACAGAAATAACTCACCATATCATAGAGAGATTCAACATAAACAACACTACAATTTGAGAATTTAAAATAACAAATCTTAAGAGAAAATTGAGTTCAATAAATGTATTGACAGCAGTTTATACAAGCCAATTCTTCACACTTGTTCATCTGACATAATTGTTGAAAGATTTTAAGTTGAACAACACTCCAATCTATCTAAGAACTGAAAGTGAAGTCATATTCTGAATGAAAAGAGTGATCTGACATAATAAGACAATTACCAGAATAACTAGAAAAACATTGGTTGACATATCCAACAAAATGTGGATTAACAGATTACCACATCTAAACACCACAACTCCTGGCTTAAAGAGAAAATAAAATCTGGCCCAAATTTCAGAAAACAAACCACATTGCATGCTGATAATGATAACAGGGAATTCCATAGCAAAAATTGATACACCACTCAGAAGAATAAAGAAACTATCTCCAGAAAACTCAACAAGAACTAGAGGATATAATTACAAACTCAAAAAGGTATTAAAAGAAATGTACAACATACAAATACAAACTACATTTTATTCAGAGGAGATTAAAAATTTTAAAAACTTCAACAAGAGACTACCGGAAATCTATCAAGGTCACTAATCAAATCTCTCTTTGCCAAAGAAGAGGAACAGAAATCTCGTTAAAGATGCAGAAAGAAGTCAACAACATAAAAAGATTTCAAGCAAAATTTAGTTTTTCCGTTTCTTTCTTAACCTTTTTTTCTCCCTTGTTGAGCTGAGAGTCTGAGATAAGTAGCTCTAGAAAAAGTTCATGTAACTAGAATCTCAACCATATTGCAAGAACAACTTCCAATGATGCATCTGTCAAAACTAAAGTAAATTCCAAACAGATTGGGTGGATAGTCCAGCAAACTTTAAAATTCTTGGAGTTTCCAAGGTGGCAACCAGTTAATATTCGGGTTTTTTCTGGTTTCAACATTCCCTAGTTAAATCACTAGCTCTTTCTATGCTTTTTCAAATGAAAAGTTGCTCTTTCTAGTTGGCATCATTGTGACGATGAAAAGTTAAAATCGTTTTCCCTACGTATGTTGAAATTAGCAGTAAACCAGATGGGATTTCTCATTAACGCCTTACACCAATGGAGAAATCTCTCTCCAGAAATTTTCCTCAGCTTCTGCAAGCAGATTTCTTATTGGTTCATACATAGTGCAACAGTCTATAATCATTAAATTCTTAACTACTCAGAAAATGGTCATATCTTTAGGTTCATCAATATCTAATTAGCTACAGCAGTCCTCACATCTCTCTAGTTCCTGTATCTATTTCCTAAAGCTAATGATTCTATTCATCTATCATAAATTCTTTACTATAGTTACCAATCCCAGTCCAGTAAAGCATCTATCCTAGAATGAGCACTCAAGAACTCAGATAGTTGTGCTGGATGATCCAGCATACAACTAAAACCTGAAAAAAATACCATAAATTTTTCATTGCAACAAAAATGTAAGCACAAATTTTAATTTTTTTTTTCCTTTCAACAATAACAAAACCATTTCAAAGTAATAGTTAATTTTTTTATGTAACATTGATGACAAAAGTTTAAGCAATGTGCCAAACACTTTTATCTCAGATATTTGTAGTCAATCAGGGAAACGCATGAAATTAAAAAAAGTAAAGTTAAATAAACTTACAAGAAAATGGTGCCAACTTTCTAAAATTTTTCATTATTTTGAAGAATGGAGTTACCATATAGCCCAATGTTCATTAAAAATAAGATCAACATTATATAACTTTTACAAAATTCAGTTACAATCAGCACATTAGACATATGGAGAGCAAACACAGAACAGAGCCAACAGTGGAAACATACATTTATCCATTCACTCTAAGATCATAAACGAAATAACAAGAATTCAATTAAAAGAATCACTGAGAGGGTCTATCATGGAAACTGACATAAACCTACCTCAAGAACTTGTTAGAGTGATTGCATTTCCCTCTAGCAGTTTGTAAATCCATTCTAAAAGGTCAATATGCAGAAAATCATATGTCCTTGTCTTTGACTAAGCTGAAACCAAGTTTCCTAGGGAAGTATACAAACTCTAATAAAAATAAACTATTTTACAACTGAGCCAGTTCCTGGGTATTCTCCATAGAATCCTTCAGGATTTTTTCAGCTCGCCTTTTCTTCTCATCCTTCTCAACATCCTTGCAAAACCAAGGAGCAATCATCTCAACATCCCTGTGCTGTGGACCCAATTTAAGCGGCTTACTCAATGACTTCTTTCCAAGTCCAATCTTAAATTGCACAGCAGGCCTCTGGTTCATAAGAACCTTTTCCTGTTCCTCCTCAGAATCACACAACTTATTCTTCATTGCCTCAATAGCTGGAGCAAATGTCTGCAGCACTGAAACGTGATTAACCACCCCACAGTTTTCTGCAACAGGAGTTTTCGAAGCTACTTCCTTTGAAAGCTTAGCTGGAACAGCCACAGAAGATACTTCCTTTTCCTCAAAATGCAGGGGTTCAGAAAGAAATGGATTACTTTCAGCTGCCTGTTTATCCTTAGGATTGTCTCCATGGGCAACTGACGAAGGTCCTTGTGGTCCACTGCCAGAAAATTGCTGCTGCAAATTCAACATAGACATTTCCATCTTTCTCTGCTGCCTTCCCAGCTCAATCTTTTCAGTTTCAGAATCAGTTTCTCTCCCATTCCGAGTGGGCAATTGAAGATAAGTCTGAGGATCAGGGAAAGCAGGCAGCCAAGCTGGAATGTGTTCATCAGGAGGCTCCTCTCCAATTTGCAAGAAACTGGATGATAGCTTTCGATCTTTAACAACTGGGAAACGTGGTATAGAATATGCAAATGGGATTTCCTGAACTTCATTAACATACTGAATAAGCTCCCGAACTACACCTGAACTTGTAAGACAGTGATCGATATCAGAAGCACCTAAAAACCCTTGCGTTGACCCCAAATCTTCTAATCCTTGAAAGATATCGAAAGCATTAACCTCAGTTCTACCAGCTAAATTTGCATAGAAATGTGCAGTCTTTCCAATATGATGTATATACCGCACAGCAATTTCAGACAATGTTCCAAGAGCAGACTGTTGAAAAGTCTGAAACCCCACTCTCTCGCATACCTGTGCTACGGCAATCTTGGCAATCGCTTGGGCAAAGTCATCGCCATCAGATTTTCTCTTTCCGTGTGATTGTTCATGCTTACTTCCACTCTCCCCACCTCCATCGCTCATATTCAACTCCTCATATCACTTCTTTGCTCCTACTATTGTATCCAAACTCCACATTCTAGTCCAAATATTCCCCGAAAATTCACATCAATCACCCGCTACTCATTACTTCGTCACCCGTTCTTTCTGACTTTGCTAATAAAATCCAAAAAGAAAGAAAAGCAAACATCAAGATTCCGAATCATTTCAATCTTTCATATCACATTAACAAACAAAACCCCAGAACAATAATGAAACCAACTCTAATCAAGAATCCATTCAGAAGCAGAGCTCAATTATCTTTTCTTGCCACAAAACCCCTAGAAACTCCCACTCACAAAACCGAAACAAAAGTAACAATGGTTCAAAACAGTTGACAAAAAAAAAAAAGAAAATGCTTACCAGTCAACTCTAGCGATTCCGTACTACTTCCAGCATTGAAGAAGCAGAAATTCAGCTCACAACAGCAGAAATCAGGTCCGATTGGACGGCCGAGAAATAAACCCTAATGCTAAGGGGGTGGTTCTAACTTGTAAATAGAATCTTTTCTAAAAATTTGAAATTCTGTTACGTGGGGTTTAAGGTGTAAACAGTGAATTAAAAAACCCTAGAAAAATCTTTGGATCAAGAAAAAACAGAAAGAGAGTGAGCGAGCGAGCAAACGTGTTGAAGATGGAACTGACTGAAGAGGGAGCCTGAGAAGGGTCTAATTTTTATAGACGGAAATGCGGGGTATGGGAGGAGTGATAAGTACACGTCGGTAGGATAGAAACTCCATCCTGCCTCTGCCACCTGTCTTTGCTTGGTTTAAGATTTTGAAAGGGAAAATATCACTAACTCCCTAATGTTTAATTTTAGTTTCTTTTTTTAGAACTTAATAATAATATTGTTAATTGATAGTGAAACAGAAAATTCTAATAACATCTCATAAGTCATAAGGGTTATTGTTAACCATCCTCAAAAGTTTTTTTTTTTTTTTCATTGAAATGTCCTAACCAATTTACGTGTAGTGAGAAATCGAATATGGAACTGTAGGTTAAAATCATGTATAACCCCTTTGGCTCATTCTTACATTTGGGCTACTTATGCGTGGGCTATAAGAGCATTTTGAATTTTTCATGGTTTAAATAACTATTAAAAATCTATTATACAATATTATTCTTTTATAAAAAAAAATATTGTTAAATATAATTTAAGGGTCTCAAAGGGTTATTATTATTCATCTTTGAAAGATAATGAAATAGGAGTAAAAATGAGGTACATCTTATTATTGTGGTTTTGAATGAATTTAAGGGGAATAAATGATAATTTAGGGATTGTATTTGTTTTAAAAGTTGTACATGTTTTTTATATTTCATCGTCGCCTTTGAAAGATTAGATAATAATAACCTATTACAAATCAACACCTATTAAAAATTTCTTTTAATTTATAAGAAATTATTTTTTAGAATTTTAAGATCAACAGAGAGTTTACGGCGTAAAAAAAAATAAAAATGTTGAAAGATATGATTCTGATTAAGCCATTAACGGGTGATAAAAAATTAAGATGCATTAATCGAGAAAACAAATTGATGAAGAATCAAAACTAAAAAGTACAAAATAATTTCTTTTAAAAAGGCAATCAACAGCAGCCTCCGTAGCATAGTGGTAGTGCGTTCGCTTCGTAAGCGAAAGGTCGCGAGTTCGATCCTCGCCGGGGGCTTTTATTGCACTGATTTATTTAAACGTTTTGCTCGGCCTTATACGTGGAAATTTAGATACGGGCCGCCCTTTCTGAATTCAAGGGTCCAAAGTTTTTTATTTCGTGGCTCACCACCCTTTATTCTTATTAAAAATATGAGAATAATACTTTTATTAGAGTATCTACAAACGATTCATATCACCCAAACTTTTTATTATAAAGGTTTTATCTATAAAAATAAGAGTTTAATAAACACTTTATTCTTTAAATATAAATTAAAGAACAAGTTTGACCCTCTAAATTAAGATAGTCAAATTTCATACTTTATCCTATTTTATTTAATAAATTATAATTTTCTATGTATTTCATTATTAATTCTTTCTCATATTAAGTCCCTCTCATATTTATTAAGCCTAATTTAAAGAGTTTATTAGATTTGAATACAAATTTTATTATTTATATTTAGAAATTAATAAAAATATTATTTATTTATATAAAATATGTTCTTTAAAATAAAGAACACCATTAGAGATGTTATTAATCACACTTTTCTACATGAGATTCATAATATGTATATATATGGTATATGTTGATCTCATCACATAAAAAAACTATATTTTAGTTATTTGAAAGAATATTAATAGACTTACATTTTTAAGTTACCCTTCTTATTCCTTGCAGATTAATGAAGCATGCACTGAGATAAATAACCAGTTACATTAATATGACTTAGTACTTATAAGTTATTTTTGTTTCGGGGGAGTTTCCATGAGAGGAAAACACACATGCACTGAATCAGAACATGCCTTATAGAGTTATGTTGATGAAATTAATTAAAGCTTTAAAATTGTGCAGAAAACAGCAGCTGCCATAGTTATTTATGTATAATTAACACTGTATTCTCTCATTCTTATCTCATATTTCATGATCTTTTTCCTCAGTGACGAGCTGTTTGAGGAACTTGTTATTAGTTTGTGTACTTATATATACATATAAAATAAGATTTCAGGTATTCCTCACCATCAATCAGCATCAACGACAAAGCATGCACATATGCGATTACATCAAGTTCAACCTTCGGCAAAAGATAGGCAACATACATATGTACAACATCAAAATAATTGACCTGAATGAAATTCACGCTCTTGCTGTTGCATGCCTACCTATATTTACATTTAACTCCACAAGACTAGTTTCTGAAAAAAAGACTTCAGAATTAATCTCTATTTCTTCTCCAGTAACGCTCTCACTTTCAACCTCTAATTTTGCTTTCAATGATTCATATTTCAAGCTGTTTGCATGACTCTGAAACTTATTAATTCATCAAGCTTTCTTACCAACAACTAATAGTAGTAATATAATCATATTAGCAAAACATGCAAGGGAAAATAATATTGTTTATGGATGAAGAGATAAAATTGAGAAAGAAACCTATGAGGCCTCAGATCAAAAGCATGTGGGAATAAAATGAACAAGATTTCCAAATCTAATTATCTAATTTGCTTCTTTGTCTTCTCTTATGTTTTTTTCATTTATCCATATGCATATAAGGACCACAGGCATGCAGTCTTTTCGATTCCTGCATCTAAATTTCCCTGGTCCTTTGGACGCTAACCCTACTATCAAACACATGCTATTGATCTTGATCCGCTATCTTGTTGGATCCTGTGGAAAAGTTGATAATGCTGTTTCAACTCCTCTTCTTTTACTCACTAAAGCATGCCTATAAATCTTTCCTTTCGTACTTCCAAGTAGCTCAGCAAACATTTAATCTATTAAAATAGTTATCAGGATATATATATATATACATATACACTTTCTGAAAGGAAAATGAACATTTTTGCTCCTCCTTTCCTCTCCCTATATATGATACGCAGGATATTCTCACTTGAGACACTTAAATAGAGCAGTGGATTATCCAGGCTATCTCATGAGCTTGAATGCACCCCAAAGCATGAAGCAAATTAATAATGTTCATGGCAAACGTAAACAAGTACACTTTACAAACATTGAACTAATAGCCTTCATCTTGCTTTGCAGTATATATATAATAACCAAATTTCAGATGCAACACAAGAACTAATCATAGTTAAGAGTTTAATTGTACACAGAACAAATAGCCTTCACTGTGGTCATTCAACTAAAACATGAATTGTGAACAATTAATATGTATAAATGCTGTTGTCACACTAGTATAATCAAACTATTCATACAGCATATGTTCTATTTCTTGTTTCTTCTGACATTCAAATATGAAACGAAATGTAGATTTGATTTTCAGTCACCTGATAAATCAATTAATAGAATCAAACATAAAATTATAGTTGTAATCTCCAATATATATAACATAAGGGACTGTCTGCATATATATATATATATATATATTTATGATCTCTTCCGAGAAGTGGGACAAGTCAACTTGTAATAAGCTCATTTAAAGATCAGTACCTATTCCTCTCTTAATAAAAAACTTTGAACCATGTTTGTTTCTTGAAAGGAGGGATTTATTTCCTTTTCCTTCGATTCCTGTACTGCTTTCATGTTAATTATTTAGAAGGAAACTCTTGGTCCTTTTCCGACTGGCTACTGCTGTTGCTGTGAGAAGGAAGAACCATAGGAGTCATACTAAAATGGAAGGGTCTCATGGACTGGTTTATGGATTGTAAAGGTGGGGAAGGAGAATTGGAAAAGAGGTTGTGTGAACTACTGGAGTTCAACATTTGAAACTGGTTGATTTGTCGCGGATCAATCTCAACATGTGAAGGGAATAGTGGTTGTGTTGTTCCAGGTGGTGGACATACCAAAATCTGAGAGACGGATGATAGAGACAATGTGGATGGCAATGGTACAACATTGAAGTTGTGAAGATCTTCTGTTTGGGATGTAAATCCATGATGACTTCCTAATTGATGAGACAAAGGAAAATTTGAAGGTTCCAAATGATAATACGAACCATAAGGCACAACATTATTCAACAAACCTGGTAAGGAAGAATTGTTGGGTCTAGGTAGGAAATTGATTGATGAAACTTCTGCTCCTTGCCCTTCATTAACACCTTGCTTCTCTTCATGACTTCCTTTTGTCCAATTTTCTTTCTCATTTATTGCTGCTTCCCTTGCAGTTTCTTTGGACTTAGCCCTCCAAAGGGCATTAGAACCCCAAATAGTATTTGATCTGGGTAACCCTTCATCTCCATCTTCCCAATTGATACTGCTGTTGATCCTAAACCCTTCTCTGTTAGGTTGAGAAGTACCAACTTCATGAGAAGACATATCTTGCTGATGGGTTAGACCCAAACTCCCTGGTTGAACTGGAAGAGGAGGGAGTTCATCAATTTCGTGCTTCGCCGCGTTAAGCAACCAGTCAACAACTTTGCTTGGCTGATTAAGTCCAAGTCTATCTTGAAGATCGTACAACTGAATAGCAGTGGGTACAGAAAGCCTCACTCGCCTATCTCTCAATCCTCTTATGGTACAAACTTTGCTATGTCTGTCTTTACCACCAAAAGCACGCGAGACGCGCACAATTCTCGGATCCTTCAACCTTAACCATGGTGATGAAGTTGTACTAGATGAAGCCTTAATCATCTTGCCATCACTCGCATTATTTTCTTCTGGTTTTGTGGAAGAATCCGCTTGATCTTTTGAACTTGATATCATCTTATGTCTCTCATTATTGGTGCACATGCAGCTGAACTAGCAGATATCTCATATATATCTTTACCTAATTTTCAGACCGGCTTTGCCTCAAAAGTTTCTTCCTGAAGTATCCTATGATTCATGAAAAGAAGACAACAAAGCAATAAAGAAATTAGATCCAATACTTAAAGATGTAAAAGTAATTCATAAAAGTAAAAGAAGAATTCATTAAAAAACATGGGAAGAGGAAACTATATATCCAAAAAAAAAGTTATCATATTATACACAAGTAGTGGGAAAAAGAGAAGGCCACTGATGAACAAAGCCTATACAGTCAATTTCTTGCGAATCAGAGAAGTTGATGTTGGATCTGTCAACGACTAGCTCTCAAGTTCATTTCTTTTGGGTATTTATCTCAACTGCAAACCAATACCTGCGCAGAAACGCTAGCTTCCTTTGTAAATTATGAAAAAACAGCTGTTATGAGATAGCTTTATATATACAAGGTAGAAGGCACAATATCCTATTGTTGAACTAGCTTTTCTTTGATCTCTGGTTAAGCACGGAAGAAGAAAATAACATATTCTTAAGAGTAGAAAGGTTAGAATTCTTGTAGGTTATACTTTTCTAAGAATTGAAACTGTGTGAACTTACACCAATGACAAAATTTTGATGCTTTCTTTTGGTATCTGGTGTAGAACTGTATTGATTCTACACCACAGTCTGAAAGCTAGCTCCTCTTTAGAATTTGGTATATATGCAATTCAAGGGTTGAAATTTTGAATTTAATTGCAGCTATAGCCAGAGAATAAACTTATTGATGAAAGTTGAAGCATATGAGAAAGGAAGATGCCGGAATTCAACCGACCATGCTCCACAGAAGAATTGAACAAAAAGCAAAGGCTCAAATGCTGCCACGTGTAACGTTTCAACATCGGAGCAATAAGTGTCCTTATTGAAATCTTATCATTTTCTTCATCACGCATATTGTTCGATCATAGTTTCAATGAAACCACAAGGGCTAATCTTTCTGTATCTTAAGGTCTCAAACTTGTGTTTACTTTGAGGTCAACACATGTTTTAGTAACTTAATCTCTATAATTTAAACAGGGGACCATATATGCTGCCATTTTGTAAAGTGGCAAAGCATGCTTTATCGACAACTACAAAAGGCTTTGCAGCTGGAAACCCTATCACATGGGTAGATGAATGCACGCCTAGTACGAAGAAAGATGTGTTCATGTGATCAATTCAAAGCATTCGTTAAAATGTGTAATTCAATTTGCAATTTCACAAACTAACTTATGAGACAACGTAAAGAATTTGACAACGTAAAGAATTTGACTTCAAGAGTATAGTACAAAACATTCTGCCAAACGCATTAAATAATGAAAGTTTGTGTAACTATCACGTTATCAATCGTGATATGATATAGAAGGGTGTCTAAATATAAACCATACAAAAGGAGAAGGAGAAACAGTTTATAAAATCAAATGAGACAAAATCATATAATGGAGATAGAACTAATCAATCAGCAGCTAATGATCTTCACATGGAGGAGAAGATTTAAAAGACAATACAAAGAAGAAGTTATCAAGTTGGATAAGTTCCATTCATGGGGTTTGAAAAGTTGTGGTCTATACTCTTAAGAGCATTGTCATGTTGATGTGTCTGATAGCAACAAAAGACATTGAGAAGCTGCCTTATAGGTGAGGGACCAACATTCGTAATTTCCTTTAAAACATTTACCCAGTTTTATTAGTAAAAAGAGGACCACTCAACTTTTCCTTCAGAGAGATATGCATGGATCAAGTTGGAAGTGTTGAACCTAAAGGATGACTGTATATAAATATTCTCTTTTAACATTTAGGAAATTAAATAGAGACGTATGAGAGTTAAATTCTTCATACATTTTTTTTCAAAAAGGGTCTTGAAAATCCAACATGGATTTAACCTTCTTCAATCATTATGGTCTTATCACAGTTTCAAAACCCTAGATTTTCAAAGCTTACTTTTGAAATTGGGTTTAATGATATAGCTATCCTATCAAATAAGCATAATCCTAACACTAATATTAGGGAATGAAGCCAAAAATTTGTTGATTTTTAGTCTATGAATTTAGAAATTGTTTCCAATAGTGTTACGACTGGTCATTCAACTAAAACATGAATTGTGAACAATTAATATGTATAAATGCTGTTGTCACACTAGTATAATCAAACTATTCATACAGCATATGTTCCATTTCTTGTTTCTTCTGACATTCAAATATGAAACGGAATGTAGATTTGATTTTCAGTCACCTGATAAATCAATTAATAGAATCAAACATAAAATTATAGTTGTAATCTCCAATATATATAACATAAGGGACTGTCTGCATATATATATATATATATATATATTTATGATCTCTTCCGAGAAGTGGGACAAGTCAACTTGTAATAAGCTCATTTAAAGATCAGTACCTATTCCTCTCTTAATAAAAAACTTTGAACCATGTTTGTTTCTTGAAAGGAGGGATTTATTTCCTTTTCCTTCGATTCCTGTACTGCTTTCATGTTAATTATTTAGAAGGAAACTCTTGGTCCTTTTCCGACTGGCTACTGCTGTTGCTGTGAGAAGGAAGAACCATAGGAGTCATACTAAAATGGAAGGGTCTCATGGACTGGTTTATGGATTGTAAAGGTGGGGAAGGAGAATTGGAAAAGAGGTTGTGTGAACTACTGGAGTTCAACATTTGAAACTGGTTGATTTGTCGCGGATCAATCTCAACATGTGAAGGGAATAGTGGTTGTGTTGTTCCAGGTGGTGGACATACCAAAATCTGAGAGACGGATGATAGAGACAATGTGGATGGCAATGGTACAACATTGAAGTTGTGAAGATCTTCTGTTTGGGATGTAAATCCATGATGACTTCCTAATTGATGAGACAAAGGAAAATTTGAAGGTTCCAAATGATAATACGAACCATAAGGCACAACATTATTCAACAAACCTGGTAAGGAAGAATTGTTGGGTCTAGGTAGGAAATTGATTGATGAAACTTCTGCTCCTTGCCCTTCATTAACACCTTGCTTCTCTTCATGACTTCCTTTTGTCCAATTTTCTTTCTCATTTATTGCTGCTTCCCTTGCAGTTTCTTTGGACTTAGCCCTCCAAAGGGCATTAGAACCCCAAATAGTATTTGATCTGGGTAACCCTTCATCTCCATCTTCCCAATTGATACTGCTGTTGATCCTAAACCCTTCTCTGTTAGGTTGAGAAGTACCAACTTCATGAGAAGACATATCTTGCTGATGGGTTAGACCCAAACTCCCTGGTTGAACTGGAAGAGGAGGGAGTTCATCAATTTCGTGCTTCGCCGCGTTAAGCAACCAGTCAACAACTTTGCTTGGCTGATTAAGTCCAAGTCTATCTTGAAGATCGTACAACTGAATAGCAGTGGGTACAGAAAGCCTCACTCGCCTATCTCTCAATCCTCTTATGGTACAAACTTTGCTATGTCTGTCTTTACCACCAAAAGCACGCGAGACGCGCACAATTCTCGGATCCTTCAACCTTAACCATGGTGATGAAGTTGTACTAGATGAAGCCTTAATCATCTTGCCATCACTCGCATTATTTTCTTCTGGTTTTGTGGAAGAATCCGCTTGATCTTTTGAACTTGATATCATCTTATGTCTCTCATTATTGGTGCACATGCAGCTGAACTAGCAGATATCTCATATATATCTTTACCTAATTTTCAGACCGGCTTTGCCTCAAAAGTTTCTTCCTGAAGTATCCTATGATTCATGAAAAGAAGACAACAAAGCAATAAAGAAATTAGATCCAATACTTAAAGATGTAAAAGTAATTCATAAAAGTAAAAGAAGAATTCATTAAAAAACATGGGAAGAGGAAACTATATATCCAAAAAAAAAGTTATCATATTATACACAAGTAGTGGGAAAAAGAGAAGGCCACTGATGAACAAAGCCTATACAGTCAATTTCTTGCGAATCAGAGAAGTTGATGTTGGATCTGTCAACGACTAGCTCTCAAGTTCATTTCTTTTGGGTATTTATCTCAACTGCAAACCAATACCTGCGCAGAAACGCTAGCTTCCTTTGTAAATTATGAAAAAACAGCTGTTATGAGATAGCTTTATATATACAAGGTAGAAGGCACAATATCCTATTGTTGAACTAGCTTTTCTTTGATCTCTGGTTAAGCACGGAAGAAGAAAATAACATATTCTTAAGAGTAGAAAGGTTAGAATTCTTGTAGGTTATACTTTTCTAAGAATTGAAACTGTGTGAACTTACACCAATGACAAAATTTTGATGCTTTCTTTTGGTATCTGGTGTAGAACTGTATTGATTCTACACCACAGTCTGAAAGCTAGCTCCTCTTTAGAATTTGGTATATATGTAATTCAAGGGTTGAAATTTTGAATTTAATTGCAGCTATAGCCAGAGAATAAACTTATTGATGAAAGTTGAAGCATATGAGAAAGGAAGATGCCGGAATTCAACCGACCATGCTCCACAGAAGAATTGAACAAAAAGCAAAGGCTCAAATGCTACCACGTGTAACGTTTCCACATCGGAGCAATAAGTGTCCTTATTGAAATCTTATCATTTTCTTCATCACGCATATTGTTCGATCATTGTTTCAATGAAACCACAAGGGCTAATCTTTCTGTATCTTAAGGTCTCAAACTTGTGTTTACTTTGAGGTCAACACATGTTTTAGTAACTTAATCTCTATAATTTAAACAGGGGACCATATATGCTGCCATTTTGTAAAGTGGCAAGGCATGCTTTATCGACAACTACAAAAGGCTTTGCAGCTGGAAACCCTATCACATGGGTTGATGAATGCACGCCTAGTACGAAGAAAGATGTGTTCATGTGATCAATTCAAAGCATTCGTTAAAATGTGTAATTCAATTTGCAATTTCACAAACTAACTTATGAGACAACGTAAAGAATTTGACAACGTAAAGAATTTGACTTCAAGAGTATAGTACAAAACATTCTGCCAAACGCATTAAATAATGAAAGTTCGTGTAACTATCACGTTATCAATCGTGATATGATATAGAAGGGTGTCTAAATATAAACCATACAAAAGGAGAAGGTGAAAATGTTTATAAAATCAAATGAGACAAAATTATATAATGGAGATAGAACTAATCAATCAGCAGCTAATGATCTTCACATGGAGGAGAAGATTTAAAAGACAATACAAAGAAGAAATTATCAAGTTGGACAAGTTCCATTCATGGGGTTTGAAAAGTTGTGGTCTATACTCTTAAGAGCATTGTCATGTTGATGTGTCTGATAGCAACAAAAGACATTGAGAAGCTGCCTTATAGGTGAGGGACCAACATTCGTAATTTCCTTTAAAACATTTACCCAGTTTTATTAGTAAAAAGAGGACCACTCAACTTTTCCTTCAGAGAGATATGCATGGATCAAGTTGGAAGTGTTGAACCTAAAGGATGACTGTATATAAATATTCTCTTTTAACATTTAGGAAATTAAATAGAGACGTATGAGAGTTAAATTCTTCATACATTTTTTTTCAAAAAGGGTCTTGAAAATCCAACATGGATTTAACCTTCTTCAATCATTATGGTCTTATCACAGTTTCAAAACCCTAGATTTTCAAAGCTTACTTTTGAAATTGGGTTTAATGATATAGCTATCCTATCAAATAAGCATAATCCTAACACTAATATTAGGGAATGAAGCCAAAAATTTGTTGATTTTTAGTCTATGAATTTAGAAATTGTTTCCAACCAAAATGAGTATAATATAAAGATGGGGTTCTTTTGTTTTGATCTGGAATTTATGAGCTTTACTTTACAAGTAAATTAGTAGATAACTTCGCCAGCAAAACACGCAAAACAAGGCAATTCCTAACCCTTGAAAGCAACAAAAGTAAATGGTGTTCTCCTCCATCCATTTTGCATAATTAAGTAGAATCTCTATATTTAAAATTAACTCAAGCGTTCTGATGTGCAAAAACAAAGAACACAAAGACAGATTTTATTTTATGTCTTTTTTTGGAATACAAAAATCCAAGCTGGCATTCCAGAAAGCAGAAAGTAATATATGCTAAAAAGAAAACAAGAAAATTCAACGTACAGCTAAGTGATGAGAAGACATGACAGATATAACAAAATAGAAAGTGATTTTTCAAAGATTGGTTAATATTCAAAAAGGACAACTTGGCCGCAGAAAAAAATTATTATTTCCATTAGAACGTGAACACTTTTTTGTAGTTGACGAAGAAAAGACAAGCAAGAAGAAAAAATAATTTAAGTTTTAGGTAAATTTCTAGTTTAAGAATTTATATTAGAGAATATTTGTTTTCCTTTTACTTTGAGTTTTATTAGGAAAGAATAATTGGTTTAGGATTTTATTTAGAGTTAAAATAGGATAAGGAATTAAATTAAAGGAATCTTATTAGGATTAGAAATATGAATCATAATAGAAAAATAATGTCCTATTTTACCTATATATAGAGGGGTTAGAACCAATTCAAAGTTATGAGAAAGTGAACTAAAGAAAGAGAAAATGTGAGGATACAAAGGGTTTTGATGTAAGAGTATCATAGAATATCGAGAAAATACTACAAGGGTATTAAACACCATATGAACAGGATGTTTGCCTAAGTAAATGTACTAAGTTGATGGTGTGATGAAACACTTGTATCGTATTCATATTATTATAGTGAAAATCTTCTTATTCGTGAATATAAACAAGTTATGCCGAACCACGTAAAATATCGTATGCCTTTGTGTGTTGTTATGTGTTGTTCTTTATTTTATGTTTTTTTACTCCTCCAATTTCTAACATGGTATTAGATCAGATTCTGATTTTTTAACATGGTACCAGAGCTTATTTTCTTAAAGGACTTGTGGGAGATGAAACTTGGGGCCTATTAGAGCCAAACTTTCCTAGACCTGACTCACGCCAAGCGCCACAAGGGAGTGGTAGGCGGGATGACCATAACAACAAAGGTGTCATCGGATTTGGGTGGGAGAGAGTGTCACGCCAAGTGCCCGAAGCAAAAGAAGGTAGGCAGGGTGGTCAATTCCAAAATTCTCACATTGGGCAAGAAGGAGGTTCTTGAGAAGATGAACCTAAGGAAGAAGAGAAGAAGAAGCCAACACAGGTTGGAGAGAAGAAGAAGCCAACAATGGGCTGAAGAAGAAGAAGCCAATAGTAGATTGAAGAAGAAGCCAACACTAAAGGTAGAAGGCTGAAGTTGTAGAAGAAAGGAAGAGTAAGAGAATGAAAAACAAGCTTAGAAGATGAATTACCAAAAAGGTTCAAGGAAGAGTATTGGGATGTGAACACTTTTTGGTGATGAAGGAAATGCAAACAAGAAGAAAAAAGAATTTAAGTTTTAGGCAAATTTCTAGTTTAGAAATTTGTATTGGAAAATATTTGTTTTCCTTTTACTTTGAGTTTTACTAGGAAAGAATAATTGTTTTAGGATTTTATTTATAGTTAAAATAGGATATGAATTAAATTAGAGGAGTCCTATTATGATTAGAAATATGAATCCTGGTAGAAAAAGAATGTCTTATTTTACCTATAAAAAGAGGGGTTAGAACTAATTCAAACTTATGAGAGCGGGAAGTAAAGAAAGAGAAAATGCGATGATACAAAGGGTTTTGATGTAAGGGCACTACAGAGTATCAGAAAAATGCTACAAGAGTATTAAACATCGTAGGAACAGAATGTTTGCCTAAGTAAAGGTACTAGGTTGATGGTGTAATAAAACACTTATATCGTATTCATATTATTATGGTGAAAACTCTCTCATATGTGGATATAAGCAAATTATGCCTAATTATGTAAAATATCATGTGTGTTTGTGTGTTATTATGTGTTATTCTTTATTTTATGTTTTTTTACTCTCCGATTTCCAACATAGTATGAGAGTAGATTCTGATTTTTCAATAATTTCTATAAAAAGTTATGGTATTAATTAAAAAATATATATATATATTAACGCAAGAAAGCCTAAACTGTGGCACTGTACGTCGCACAAGTTGTTTCTGAAAGGCAGTGGGGTTATTAATCATAAGTATTGGAAGCTGGGTTCTTCAGTTTTAACTATTAACTGATGCTTCTTCAAAGACTTCTTCGTCCCTATCCTACTCATTTCACAGACACAGAGAGAGAGAGAGGGAGAGGGAGAAAAAGAGAGGCACCGTACCGTTTGTTTTTAAGGGATAAAGAGATGGGAGAGAAAGTTTTAGGGTTTTGTAACCCCTCTTTTTCATGTTTCTGAAGTCTAAATTAACAGGTAGTAGCAGTAGTGGTGGGCATCTCAAGAGTGAAAAGTATAAAAAGTTTCACACACCATTCAGATCGACTGATCCAAGCAAGGACGCCATTATTGCCAAATAAATGGTCCCCAGATTCCAGACACAAGTCTTCGTTATTGATCTAAAGTTATGAAATGTGTTTGATCATCAGGAATTTGAAACAAAAAGCATTAAAATGTTTTTCATACCTCAGTAAGATCGATCCAACTCTTCCAACTAAATTTATCAAGTGGAACTCTTCCAACTCTAACAATTAAGGAGAGGATTCAAAGTTCATCCAAACTAGTGTCAGCCTGAAAGGCACCAGTCCATTGCACATGACAGGCTTGATATTATTGACCAAAGGGTGAGACTTTTGCCATATCAACATTTTATTGAAGCCACAGTCGTATTAATAGCTCTTACTTTTAAAGCACCGATATGTTTAAAAAACATAAGGAAATTTGATTACTAACAACTAATAAATAAAGTGGAAAGGTCCCAATTCTTAATCTACTAGCCCAAAAAACATTTAGATTCAAACTAATATCGGCCAATATCCGTAATTCCCCGTGGTTGGATCGAGAATCAAGTGAATTTAGAAAAGATTTCTGACAAATTTCAAAATAAAGGACTTTCAAAATAAGTTTAACTTATTAACCAATATATAATTTAGTTCATCATATATATATATATATATATATATATATATTTTTTTTTTTGATAAATGAAGTTTCTGACCCAATTTCTGTTCACCTCAATTAACCTTTACAGTCCGTTGAGCATTCTATAAACTTAAAAAACTAAGTAAACCATAATGTGGTAAGTGACCTTTAGGTTCAAACTAAAAACTTAATTAAGGGAGTTAATCTTCTTAACTATCAGACGAATACCATTACTCTTGGACGACCTTTCATTACATTTCTTACTGCATGCCTATCGAGAACACTGTTCCTTAAAGCTAATCTGTAATTGCATACAAAAAGCTATCTAGTGGAAACCAATTTGTACTGTTACATTTTGAAACCTTTGCCTGAGTTATCTTCTCTCCGAGTCTCCCGAGGTATATATTGGAAGAGTTTACAGACAAGAAATTATTTAAAAATTCATTGCAGGAAAAGCCTCTCAATATTCGTGAAGGAAGTTGTAAAGAAAAAGACAGAGAATACAACAAAACTGGCTTTGAGATTGATATTTTTATTTATTTATCTACTCATATATATTCAATTATATATATATATATTGTTTGATTATTATTTCATGGCCGAGAGGATATGCAGCTGTGCTATCTCTGCCATCTTTGCATTATTCACTGTGTAAACATTAATTGTTTTAATTTGCTCTGATCCTGACTTGCTAGCTTTTTACCGTTTCATGTTTCTAGGGTTTCTCTCTATCCTCTTTCAAGGGCTAATAAAAGACACAACTGCAATAACAGAAGCAACATCAATCCCTAAAAGAAAAGAGAAATCAATAAATCAATATTAAAGATAAAGCTGTGCTCTCATAACTCAGAGAAAAAGAAATTAAAGATCACAACTCTACCAATTTAAGGACAAAGTCAACAAGAGAAATGGGTTCCTCTCTTCCACTCATCAGTCATCACCAACACAGAAGAGAGCTCATTCTCTCTCTCTCTCACTGCCATGAATTACTGATGATGACGATGGTGATAGAGATAGTGACTATAATAAGGATGATGATGATAGTAAGCTGCAAATTTTTGAGGCCGTTCAGTGATCAATGCATGCAACAAATTTTGTTAAGAGAGCTACTGCATAAAAGTTTTTATTCAAGAATCCCTATATTAGATACTGTTCTAACCTTCTTCATGCAATATATTGAGTACTTCAAAATAATTAAGAGCTATATGCATGGAAGCTAGCCACATAACTCATAAAGCAACTCATCGATCTTCTCTTTCCCTTCGGGAAATAATAAAAGCATGCTATGATTTCTGGTATATATCATTGCATGAAGAATAAAGTAAATCACATGCATTTTCTTGCTATTTGGCTGTAAGATCAAATCACATGAGAATACAGTAAACTAACACAGAAAGGGGCAGACACAAGAAAGTGAATTGGCACGCTTTAGTGCCTAAATTGTGAATGAATTTGGAAAAGTTCTTGAGTTTGTCCATTGGGTTGAATATATTTGTCGATCACTACGATATACTGGTGGAAAATGTAGGCTAAAGTTCATTCGAACGTGAGAACGAAGTAATCATATCATATACTTTAATCATATGAACAAAATTACTAGTGCTTCTGATCGATCAATTTCATGTGCCTTTATTTTCACTCTTTCAATTCCTCCTGGATTATTAATTGCTCACTGTACATCATGAGGTTATGAACAACTGTTGGCAACTCTTGATATAGCTTGACTGAATTAAGAATAAATTGTAAGGTTATATAAGCCATGAATTTAACAAATATGAAATGTAAGTTTGAATCTGTTATTTTCTTTATTACCTCGTCAACTTTTAAACCATTGAATGAGAGGAGATTAATCATCGAAAATTTAAGTTAAACGACATATCTCTTAATTTATTACCTTAATCTAATGTTTAAATTAAGAATTCACATATTTGGTTTGGCCTTGTTATATATTTTAGCGGTTGAATTAAATCAGATGAAGATAAAATTCTAAAAATTGAGTTTTGTTTGAAGTCATTAATTCAAACTATAAAATGTGTTAATATAAAAAGAGTAGATGAGTTACCTCTCCCCTTGTGGCCGGATGACAAGCCTTTTAATTATTGAGATTAACTATATCTAATGGTTTTATATTCGAGTAACATGAGAGACATTTATCATATTTGTGTAATTATTTTGATCTATTAGGCTTGTAGGGTGTTCTGTGGCACACACCACATTTATGTAATTATTTTAGTCTATTTATAGAGTATTTTGTGACCCTGAAAATTAGGTGGACTCATCACAAAGACAATTGTGCTTAGATATCTCAGTTATTAAAAAAAAAAAATAAATAAGAATAGATGAGCTCCTTATGAGTTTTCAAATAGATACATTTATTTCATTTGAGCAATTTGGGATTTGTAAACATTTTCTTGGCATTTTAAACATTTGTATCATAAGATATTAATTAATATATTTATTAAAGTAATTTTGATGGGGCATGTCATGTGACAACTTAATTGGGCTAAGCTTGAAGCTTAGTTTTTGTGGTCCGGTCCATTTAGTCTTAGTGGTAAGATTGGACCTTATATATATATATATAAGCTGATAGCCCATAACGGCAACGGGTTGCAGGCCTGAAAATCACTTAATTTATTTTATTTAAGCATTATTTTTCCGTTTAAACCTTTTTTTATTTAAGAATTTATTTTACTAAATTCTGCACGCTAAATCAGTAGTAGTAACAAAAAATCACTTATTTTGGCCTGCCTAAATTACAATCTCAATTCCAACTTTTATCTCTCCGCCATGCAACACTCCAAGAATCGTTGATTGCGATACATTTGAATCACGGATGGAGTTCCCACCAGACTTAATCAATGACTTACGCATCGGACACCGTTATGAACTCCTTAACCTGCTAATCGCCGAAGTTCCCGCTACAGGGGCACAACCGGTGAATCTCTATAACGGACACACTATTGCTGCTGAGAATCAAAACCAAAATGGCCCCGTATTGAACATGAAAAATCACAGATCAATTCTAACAGAGATAATCAACGGGACAGGAAGCTAGGAGAAACGAAAGGAGGCCCATCAACGCTGAAAATCTAAACAATCAGGAAAACCTTGGAGCACAAACGAGAGAGGCGATCTTGTTCTTACTCACCAAGATCTATGACAGGCCACACAACCCGATCGCGGAGAGACATCACTTCTTCACGACAAAGATGCAGGGCACACGATTGATGCAATTTAGAGAGAGCGACAATGACAACGACAAGAGCCATAGGGTGATCCCAGGGTACGGATTAATGACATGTATTACATGGCTATGTAATTACAACTAGAAAAGTTCAAAGGGAATAATGCGAAAGACTATTAGAAATTAAAAATGACTTCGATTCTCCAAATATATCATAAAAGAGAAATACACAATGAAATTAAAACCCTGGTTGTGATGGCAGAGATTTCCAAGTTGTTATTACATGTTTTATTTTCCTTAACAATGATCCATCATTACTTGTGGCCAGTTCCTACTTCCTATGCCTTGATCCACTCAATGAATTTGTTGAAACACTTGTTCGACTGACCGCCTTCTTTAACAGTTTCTATGGCAGTTTCCTTGAGTGCCAAAGCTCTTCCTTTAAATTTTTCATCACCAACCACTTGATCTATCTTACTTTTAATTTCTTCTCGTGTAATGATTCCACTTGCGTCTCTTTTAAACCTCAATCCCACCTTCCAAACATCACAAATGTAGCTCTCATCGATGAATTGGTCAGCGAAGTATGGCCAACATAAGAAAGGAAGCCCATTGCTTAAACCTTCCATGGTTGAATTCCAACCGCAATGGCTAAAGAAGCAGGCAATGGAAGGGTGACTTAAAACTTTCTGTTGCGGAGCCCAACCCACCATTTTCCCACGGTTGGCTACCCTTTCTTCAAACCCATCTGGGAACGCTTCATTGGCACCGTCAGTAATGTCTGGCCTAACAACCCACAAGAACGGCTTGTTGGTGAGTTCAAGTCCTAGTGCCAGCTCCTGGAATTGAATCTTGTCTATAACTGTGAAGCTGCCAAATGCAACATAAATGACTGAGTTAGGCTCCTGTTGATCAAGCCATTCCAAGCAAGCTGAGTCTTCTTGCCAGAAGTATCCTGTTGAATTTCCTTGTCGGTTGCTCGCCAAAAGAGGTCCTATTGGAAGCATATTTGGAACCAAGTTGAACGCTTCAGGTTCAAAGTCATAGGTTGAGTTGCCAATAAAGGTGTCTGCCACTTTCACAGCTTCTCTGTTCTTGTTTGTATAGTCAAAGAGTATCTTTTGGGCTAAGCCGCCACCAATGTTTGCCCAAATAAAGTTCGTACTGTCGATTTCAGGCGTGTTGGGTGCAAACTGAATCATTTGTTTCTTGAACGGAGTCCCTGGAAACAAATTGTACACAACAAAACAGTGATTCAGTGACTTTTAACTTGCAAAAAGGTTTACAGAGGGAAGATGGAAAGAGTGAAAAACGAGTTAGAGTGTGTTACCATTACTGTCAATGATTCCATCATCAATCATTTTGGAATATTGTAAAAGAAGGCCAGAGTAACGACTGCTGCAGGCCAAAAGGCAGCCTTCTTAATTTTCATCTTCTCTGCAACTTCAAGAGCAAATCCAATATTGCATCAGCAATCACACAAACAAGCTTATCTTCTTCCACTCTGTTGATCTCTTCAATGAGCTCCTCCAGCTTCCTGGCATCACTTCGGCATTGTGCACAAGCTTCCCTATATCATTTCTATCCTCCCCGGGTTCCAACCATCTGGAATCGCACACAGACGGATTCCATCCCTATAGAATTTTCCGGTAATGCGTTGATGAGCCGGTTGTGAGTATGATCTGTGTTGACAAACGTGACTCTGAAGCCATGCTTCGTTAAGCATAACGAAAGCTCCATTAACGGAATTACATGGCCTTGTGCAGGAAAAGGAAGAGCCAGAATATGTGGACGACTCATTCAGTTTTCAGTTCCTGGAAGTTCCTAAGAACATAGTTTGCTTTGTTAATAATAATCAGGGTGACTTCCAGGAGAACTCATGATATATTATATATTGCTTTGGTTTACTGCTTGTCGCTACTTGTTGGTGTAGTTTTGTCATTTTATTATATTATTATATATTATGATCTGGCAGGGAACATCTCCATCATCTTGGGGTTTTTTCCCCCTAATTTCTCTACTTTAATCTAGTAGTCAAAATTTTTTTTTTTTTTTTTTTTTTGGGTAAAGATAATTTGAAAAAATAAGAATGTCACACTAAAGGGGAGAACCCCAAAGGAGCACCTTTGACACAAGCAAGAGGTGATAAACACAACAATCATCAAAGAACGGAAGAGGGACAAGCCATAACAGGCCAACACGCACCAAAACAAAACAAAACAAAAAAGCCAAAAGAGCCTACAGCAGCTCGCAGCCAGAGAAAACCAGACAAACCACCATCACAACCAGGAGCAGCAGTCACCAGCTATGCAGAAGCCTTAAGGAAGGCCAGCCCAAAGGAAACAGCGGAAACTGGTCAGCATTCCAATCACAAATAATAGTTTCTCTCTTCACATTGCATAAAATCATCATATATCTTATTTAACTATAGGTAACAACCAAAGTGGAAATGAACAAGAGCTTAAGCTTCTTCAAATAATTTTTTTTCTCTTTTATTTCTGGCATAATCTTGGTAAAATAACATTTAAATATCGGAAAAGAGTTAAAAGAGTAAAAGAAAGAAGTTTTCAATGGTGCTCAGTCATGGTCTGCAAATTATTCAGAATCATAACGAAAAGTTTAAATTTTAATGTTATAAATGGAGTTAATTTACATGAAATTAGAAGGAGAACATAATATTAGATAAAAAAGAAGGAAATAAGGAACAAAAGTATTGATAGATCAATGGGAGATTCACCGTAGAAGGATAGATTCTGGGTTAGTTAAAGAGTCACACTGCTTCTAATTAAAATATAGTGATTCATTGTTGATCCAAATTTTTATAATCTTTATGTAGAATATAAAATATCGTAGAACTGTTATTATATTAGATGATAATAATAAATTATTTACTAACGTCATACTAAAAAAAAAAAAAAAATGTAAATGTTTGTCAAAAGATAAAATTATTTTATATAGAGAAATCCATTTATGAGCCAAAACCAGTACACAATTATATTTTATGAATAACTGTCAGATGGCATCGCTTTTGTGTAAAAAAAAAAAAAAATGTTATTTCAGGATAAAGATTTGATCAGCTATTAGTAATCAGAAAGGCACTTCTAAAATTTCTAATATTTGGAAAGTCGGATATTAACAATCAAGTTCCGGAGAGGTTAGATTTTTATCCCATGCTGGCCGTCTCTAGAATATTTGTGATCCTAAGCAGGAGTTACTTTGGGGTCCTCTAATAATATAAGTATATATTAAAAAATTTATTTCATTTTTTTTTTTTCCTTTTGAAATGAAAAATGATTAGGAGAGGTGAACAGTAATCGACAAGCTAACAAGGTTAGGTTGGTGGGGGTTTTGGAGAGTAGATGTTGGAGAAGTGATGGGTGGTGAAATGGGTGATTTCTAATGTCAAGATTGAGAAGAAAAGGCTTGAGAAGTCACGGCCCAAAAGGTATCGATGGCCGGCGATTAGCAGAATAAACGGATAAGGTATGATAGGGGTTTTGGTGAGAGGACTGAGGGGAGGAAGATGGTGGTGTCAGAGAAGGCCAACAATGTCGGGTACATGCCAAAAAGGTTAGAAATGGCTATCGTGTGGTGGAGTTGGGTTGCGAGATTCATCATAAATTAGTCAAATCGAGGGCTATCAAGGTTGGGAAATGATAAAATGATGATTTCGGTCGATTTTGGTGAGAAAATCGATCGGAACCAAAATTGACCGAAATCAACTCCAAACCACTGGTGGCAGAAAAGGGCTAGAGATGATTTATGTGAATGTCAAATTTTGGGATTGAATTGGGGGTGAGTAATTTGAGATATGTAAATGACTATTTTAGTCTTCTATTGTTAAAAGAGATTCATGTGTTATTTAAGGGTTAAACTAGAAATATATCAACTAGGTATAACTTGCTATTTTGTTTAAACTTTGGTAAGAATATATGTAAAAATTTGGCCTTTTATGGCTTTTTATTTTTTGGGGGGGGGGGAGGGGGCCTAGCTAAATAAGAAATTATAAATCATTTTCGTAAGATATTCAAAAAAAAAAAAAAAAAACATTTATAAAAAATTTGGGCCCCCATATTTTTGGGGCCCTAGGCAGATGTCATCTGCCTACCCCTAAGCCGGCCCTGATCCCATGCTTAACTAGTTTGACTTAAGCGAAGAGTAATTAAGTATTTGAAAGCCAACTGCTATTTGTTAATTATTAATCAACAATAGCAGTTAGTTGGGTTTCAAATATAATTAACTGCTGTTTAGACTCTGTCGTTAATGACATGTTTGCCGAGTGATTGGAGCTGTACTTATATCTTCTGCAATATTATTTCAGTTTCAGACATTCAATTGGCTGGAAACAGATGATTTATTTAAGAATATCATTAGCCTTAATTAATCGTAATTACTTTTCTAATGATTCAAAGGACAGAGGTTTTGACAAAACAGAAATAAATAATTTTATATTTATATCTGTTCAAGACACCTCGATACAGTACAATTAACGAAGATTGCCATAAACACATGTAAAGAGAAAAATTTTGTTACCAATGACCAGGTATTCGCTAATTTGGACTAAAAAGAATTGGGCTAATGATAGCAGATTGAGCTAGATCAAGTGTAAGTGTCAAGCCCAATATACATCCACCCAAATCAGGCTAATTGCTCACTGTACATCATGAGGTTATGAACTGTTGATGGCCAAGATTCGACTGGCAGGTCTCATTACATAGCTTGTTGAATTAAGAATAAATTGTAAGCTTATATAAGCTATGAACTTTTTTTTTTTTTTTTTTTTTTTAATGCTGTATGTGTCGAGGCATTTACATACACCTCATTAATTTCTCGAGAACTTAGAACTATTGACAGGATAAGAGTTCTAATGGTTACGTCCTATTAGCAACTATGGGACTCGAACTCAAAAACCATGTTAGATCCTCCTTTTATTGTTTTACCCTCAATACTTGGAAGACTGTGTTAGATCCTCCTCTTAAGGTTATTTAAACCCTTCTCATGCTCTTTTACTATTAAGGGGACTCAAACTGGAAAATTATATTGATCATCTTTTGCTTTTTCACTATCTCAGTACTCATGGTGGTTAGCTATGATTTTTTTTTTTTTTTTTTTTATGAGTATTAAATATTCATTAAAAGAAAAGAATATACAAGGGCCATACCAAAATTGGCCAACCACCATAGGACAAGCCCTAGGTTAGGTTCAAAGAATCAAGTAGTCACAAGAGCTACTACTAATTGCTAAGCAAAGCAACTAATCACAAAAAAAAAAAAAAAAACAAAAAAACAAATTGCACACCTCACATGAGGCTGCTCAAAAGTTAATACAAACACATGTGAACCAACAGGGGTGAGTACGGGTAGTGGTAGAACCGAAACCGGGGGTAAGAACCGGGACCGGAATCGGAACCTACCCAGAACCTGCACTATGCGGGTAGGTTCCGGTTCCGGTTCTTGCATGTGAGGAACCAGAATCAGAACTGGAACCGGAACCTGTAAAAGGGTACCCTGTTTGGAACCTGTAGGGGGTACCCGTTTAGACCTGTTTGGAACCTGTTTTGGAACCTATTTGGAACCTGTTTTTGGAAACCTTTTGGAACCTGTTTTGGAACCTGTTTGGAACCTGTTTTTGAACCTTTTTGGAACTCTGTTTGGAACCTGTTTTTTACCTTTTTAGAACCTATTTTGGACCCTGGACTATATGAAATTTTGTGAAATGTAAATATGGGGGAGTTTCTATTATTTTACATATAAAAAAATTTAAATAGAAAAAGTTAAATTTTTAGAATAACCGAATTAATAAATATACGAATACAATTATACTTATTACATAAAATTACACCATATAAAAGCTTTAAATATATTATAATACATTAATATAAAAGTTTTGATCAATTAAGTGAATAATTAGAATTTGATCCAATTAAAGTTGTTTACATTTTTAATGTTATTAAGAATTATTTTTGAATAAATAGTTATTTGATTGAGTAATAATATATTTAGTTATTTACTTCAATTATCAGTTCTAAGTATATCTATAATAATTAGTAATTAATTAATTATATATGATGAATTGATAAACATTAATAAATTTAATTACTAGTTAAATATCATACTTAATCAATTATAACATTACATTATGTTAAATGATTACTTATAATTATAATTTTATACATTACTTAATTGATTTATAGTATAATTAATTATAGCATTACATTAATTGATTACTACTTAATTAATTGACTTTAAGTTATAACATATTAAGGGTTAATTAATTGACTTATAATTAGAAATTAATTAATTATGCATTACGTTATAGAATTTATGTAATTTACTTAATCAATTTATAACATTTATTATAAACATTAGTACAAACTTAATTAAATGATTAAAAATTTAATATATAAATATTACATTAAAAATTTAGTATGAGTACTTAATAGTTAATTCACTATAACATTATATTATAGTATGATATATAAATTATAACATTTACATAATATAATATTACTTAATTAATTATGTCATTATATTTAAATATTAGTAATTACTAATTTACTACATAAACATTAGCATAATACTTAATTAAATGATAGAAATTTAATTAATCATAACATTACCTTATAACATTTCATATTAAACATTAATTAGCATTACATTATTTTAAATAATTACCAATTATTATAATATTATTATATCTTATATATTGATCACTTACTTAATTATAGCATTATATAGTTAATGATTCATAATTACATAATTAGTTATGAATTTATAACATTACACTATAAACATTAGTAATTTACTAATTTACTATATTATTACATTACTTAATTAAATGATTAAAAATTTAATTAATTATAACATACTTTTATATTTAATATGATTACTTACAATTAACATTCCATTATAAACATAATATTTAATCAACTGATTTGAAATTTAATTAATTATAATTTAAATTATAGATTTATAGTATGATTACTTAATTCATTATACATACTTTATACTATTTAGTATGATCATATAATTAATATACTACATAATTCATGATTACTTAATTGTTGAGTTATGATATTATTTTAAACATTATTAATTACTAATTTACATATAACAATTACACAATACTTAATTAAATGATAGAAATTTAATTAATTAAACTACCTTATAAACATTTCATATAACATTAATTAAACATACATTATAGTTAAATAATTACTCAATAAATTATAATATTTATATTACATTATGTATTATGATCACTTACTTAATTTAACATTACATAGTTAATGATTACATAATTACTTATTAGTTATGAATTTATACATTACATTTAACATTAGTAATTTACTATATTATTACATTACTTATAAACGATTAAAATTTAATTAATTATAACATTACCTTATATTTATAATATAATTACTTAATCATTATAACATTCCATTATAACATAGTATTAATCAAATGATTTGAAATTTATTAATTATAATTTAATTATAGATTATAGTATGATTACTAATCCTTATAACATTACATTATACTATTATAGTATACATCTAAATTAATATAACTTACATAATTAAAGATTACTTATTGATTATGAGTTATGATATTTGTTTTAAACATTAATAATTACTAATTTACACATAAACATTAGCACAATATTTAATTAATGAAAGAAATTTATTAATTAACATCCTTATAAACATTATAACATTACATATAGTTAAATATTACTCAATTAAATTATATATTATATCTTACATTATATATTATGATCACTTACTAATTAATAACATTACATAGTTAATGATTACATAATTACATAATTAGTATGAATTATAACATACATATAAACATTAGTAATTTACTAATTTACTATATTTACATTACTTAATTATGATTAAAAATTTAATTAATTATAACTTACCTTATATATTTATAATATGATTACTTATCAATTATAACATTCCATTAAACATTAGTATTTAATCAAATGATTTGAAATTTAATTAATTATAATATTAAATTATAGATTTGTATGATTATTTAATTCATTATACATTCTTATACTATTATAGTATGATCATATAATTAATATACTTACATAATTAATTATTACTAATTGATTATGAGTTATAATATTAGTTTTAAACATTAGTAATTCTAATTTACTTCATAAACATTAGCACATACTTATTAATGATAAGAAATTTACTTATTATAACATTACCTTATAAACATTTCAGTATAAACATTAATTACGCATTACATTTATAATATTAATCCTTAAAATTTATATTATTATATACATTATATATTATGATCACTTACTTAATTATAGCATTATATAGTTAATGATTACATAATTACTTAATTAGTTATGATTTAAACATTACTTTATACATACATTATAAACATTAGTAATTTACTATACTATTACATACTTAATTAACGATTAAAAATTTAATTATTATAACATTACTTTATATATTTGTAATATGATTACTTAATCCATTATAAATTCCATTATAAACATATTATATTAATTAAATTATTTGAAATTTAATTAATTATAATATTAAATTATAGATTTATAGTATGATTACTTATTCATTATAACATTACATTATACTATTATAATATATAATTAATATAAAACATAATTAAATATTCTTATTGATTATACATTATATATACATTGTAATTTCTAATTTACACAATACTTAATCAAATTATTATAACATTATATATATTTTATGGTATGATTATTTAATTAATTATAATTCATTATAACAATATTACAATCCTTAATTAAATGATTAACATTCACGTGTTGCTTAGAGATTACAGGTTATGAGTTACATTGGATACAAAAATGAAAATATGAAAACTGTTAGGGGTGTATTGTAACTTTAAGTGTTTTTGTTTTTTTAAACTAATAGGGAGTAATTGATTTTTTACAGGGTACCCTGGAAAGGAACCGAACTGCATTTTAGGTTTCGTTCCTTGAATTGAAGAACCTGCATGTGCATGCCGTTTCCGGTTCCTTTTTTTGGAAACCTGCACTGTGCGATTCCGGTTTCGTGTTCCCCCGAAAAATACAGGGTACCCGGAACCCGCTCAACCCCTAGAACCAACCATCACTCTCTCAACAATACAAATCAATAGGAACAAAGAGCAAACAAAACACCTCCTCACCCTGCCCACAACATCCGCGCCAAACCTCCACCAAAGCAAGAAGAAGACAAAACAAGAGCCAACCACACATCTACAAACAATGATAGCCACAAAAATGATCCAACACCACAAACTAACAAAGCCTAGCCAAGAGACAATCGGAGAACTTCCCATTAAGTCTTGAAATTCATATGGACGGCCCAAGTTTTTGGGCTAGGATTTTATTTTCCATAGTTCCTTTCATGTTCTCAAGTCCAAAGCCCTTTTCTTTACCACTCTTTATTTCCCGTGATTCAGTGACTTTTAACTTGCAAAAAGTTTACAGAGGAATAGGAAGAGTTGAAAACGAGTTAGATGGTTACCATTACTGTCAATGATTCCATCATCAATCATCTTTGGAATATTGTAAAAGAAGGCCAGAGTAGCGACTCCTGCAGCCAAAAGGCACCTTTTTAATTTTCATCTCTCTGCCCTTCAAGAGCAAATCCAATATCCATCAGCAATCAACCAAACAGCTATTATCTTCTTCCACTCTGTGATCTCTTCAATAAGCTCCTCCAGTTCCCCTGGCATCACCTTCGGCATTGCTGAACATAGCTTCCCTAAATCATTTCTATCCTCCCCGGGTTCCATCCATCTGGAATCGACGCAGACGATTCCATCCCCATAGAATTTTCCGGTAATGCGTTGATCCCCGGTTGGAGATTAGATCTGTGTTGACAAACGTGACTCTGAAGCCATCTTCGTAAGCATAAACGAAACTCCATAAAGGAATTACATGCCTTGTCAGGAAAAGGAAAGCAAATATGGGACCTCATTTTAGCTTTCAGTTTCCTGAGTTCCTAGAACATATTTGCTTTGTTTATAATATCAGGGACTTCCCAGGAACCTATTCGTATATTTGTTTGTTTGCTGCTTGTCGCTTATCGACTCGTTGTGTGTTTGTCATTTTATTATTATTATTATTTATATATATGATCTGGCAGGCCAGGAACATCTCTCATCCGAGGTTTTTCTTAATTTCTTACTTTATCTAAGGGAACACATTTTCACAGCCTGACCCTTTCCCAACATCGCGTTCATCCTTCACTTGTTAGACTCTGTTTATTTTATTAATATTTAATTAAAAGATGAAATACCTTTAAATAGTTTATTAAATTTAAATTTATAATCAAAGTCTTTACTCGATTATTATTAATTATTGAAGTGTAAAGATACTTTTTTTCTTTGTTTATAATATTACTAAGAAATTATTTTTTTATATATTACTTCGGAAACTGACAACATTATAAATTTAATAGATTATTGAATAATAGTGATGAGATATTGATGACATTATAAATAAATATTAAGATCATTTAACTTTAAACAATTTCATAGCATTATTCCTAACTTTTTAGGTGGAACTAACTACTTTTTTTTTTTTTTTTGACTTTTTAGCTAATTAAAAGTTTATAAAGTCAAATTTTTAAGGGTATTTTCATATTGTTAATAAAATATTAACGGAAAACATAACAAAACCTAACGAATGGTGGGGAAAGTGTCATTTTTAAACTTGAGGGGTGGGAAATTGTCATTTTCTTCAAACCCTGGGTGGAAAATGTCGTTCTGCCTTAATCTAATAGTCAATTTTCTCTCCTCGATTTCATAAAATCATCATTTATCTTATTTAACTATAGTAAGTAACAATCAAAGTTGAAATCAACCAGAACTTAAGCTTCTTCAAATAAAAAATTTTATTTGTCGCATAATCTTGGTAAAATAACAGCAAATGGTGCTTAGTCATGGTCGGAAAATTAGTAGAATCATATCGAAAAGTTTAAATTTTAATGTTATCAATGGGGTTAATTTACATGAAATTAGAAGGAGAAAATAGTATAAAATAAGGAACAAAAATATTGATAGATCGATAGAGATTCACCGTAGAATGGATAAAGCTACTTGTCAAAGTTGGAGCTTGACAGTAATTTTGACGAAAAATACTATGCTTACTCACCACTTGTACTAACAGCCATACAATTTTTGTTAAAATTTTACATGGTACCCGTACTATGCGTATAGTACCAGTACTATGCGTTATATTTACAAAGGATAGTAAGATGGTTAGTAAGATGGTGAGTAAGTATAGTATGGTTCAATTTTGACATATGAACCATACTATACTTACTCACCATCTTACTAACCATCTTACTATCCTTTGTAAATATAACGCATAGTACTGGTATTATACGCATAGTACGGGTACCATGTAAAATTTTAACAAAGGTTGTATGACAGTTAGTACAAGTGGTGAGTAAGTATAGTATTTTTCTTGACATATTTAAGAAATAGATTCTTGGCTTGATAAAGAGCCATACTGCTTCTAATTAATCTCTACGTAGAATATAAAATAGAGTAAACAACTTTTTTTCACCCAAATAAAGGTTTAATGGCATTTTTTTATTCACAGACTTTTAAAATATCATTTTATTACCTAAATTTATATTCTATTTGTGATTCTAGCATCGTTGTGACCCTACACCACCATCATTCTCTTCTTTAATCATCACTCACCAAAACCCCTCAAACCATATTTTTACCGATCCCGCTAATTACCGACAACTGAGTGATTAGGATTTACACGGTTGTCCCTCCCAAGTCAAATTTCGATCAATTCTAATCAACAAAATCTAATATCTCACCACCACAAGAGTCATATGTCTCCCCTCTTCAAAAGTTCTAACAGTTTAGGTCGAGTTTGCTCTCTGTTTGCTGTTTAAGTATAAATTTAAATAATAAAATAATATTTTAAAAATTTATGAATGATAAATATCATTAAACCATTATTTTGGTAGAAAAAAGCCACTAACTCATATATAAAAATATCATAGAACTTTTATTATATGCTTATCTTTAATGTCGACTATAATAGATGATTTACTGAAGTCATAATAATTTACTAACGTCATACTAAAAAAAAATGTAAATAATTGTCAACAGATAAATTATTTTATGTATCGCAATCCATTTATGAACCAAAACTACTACTTAATTATATTTTATGAATAATGATATCATTTAAATATAAAATTTAAGTACTTCATTAGCATTATTTTACCTTTAATATTTTGCATCAGCTGTTTATGTTTAGGGTTAAAAAAAAAAAAATGAAAAAATCAGAAAATTAGATCAAAACAGAATAAAAAAATTGGTTTTTTCAATTAATCAGTTTGGTTTCGATTTAAAAAAATAACTAAATCGAATTTAAGATTGATTCGATTAATGATTTAAGGATAATATTAAACTGATTATCTTAAATTGGTTTTAAAAGTCGGTTTTTTTTTTTTTTTTTTAAATCCCTGCTTTTTTCCCCACTTTTCTTGGGTATAGCGTATGCAGACTGAAGTCTGCTTCTCCTGCTCATTTTCCTAGGTCTGCTACTCACTCAATTATTTTTGTTTTCGTCTTTTTCTACTCTCACTACTGTCTAGTGATTCGAGCTGTACTAATGTCTTCTGTTTTTTCAGTCTCAGACATTCATTGGCTGGAAACAGATCAGCTTTATGATTCATTTATAAATGTACACTCTGCACAAGAATAGTTGTATTTGCTTTGTTTTATAATGATCAGGGTGACTTCCCAGGAGACCTAGTTCGTATATTTGATTTGGTTTGCTGCTTGTCGCTTATCGACTCGTTGGTGTCGGTTTGTCATTTTATTATTATTATTATTTATATATTATGATCTGGCAGGCCCAGGAACATCTTCATCATCTCGAGGTTTTTCTTAATTTCTATACTTTAATCTAAGGGAGAACAACATTTTCACAGCCAAGGTTTGATGAGTTGACCCTTTCCCACCCATCGAGTTTTAAAATGGTACTTTCTCACCCTTTGTTAGACTCTGTTAGTATTTTCTATTAATATTTAATTGAAAAGATGAAAATATCTTTAAATAGTTTATTATAAATTAAAATTTAATTAAATCAAAGTCTTTACTCGATTATTTATTAGTTTAAGTGTAAAGATACTTTTTTTCTTTGTTTATATAATTAACTAGGAAAATTGATTTTTTATATTAATTAGGAAAAATGAAAAACATTATAAATTTAATAGATTATTGAATAATAATTATGAGATATTGATGACATTATAAATAAATATTAAGATCATTTAACTCTAAACAATTTCATAGCATTATTCTTAACTTTTTAGGTGGAACTAACTACTTTTTTTTTTGACTTTTTAGCTAATTAAAAGTTTATAAAGTCAAATTTTTAAGGGTATTTTTGTTTTGTTAATAAAATATTAACGAAAAACATAACAAAACCTAACAAAGGGTGGGAAAGTGTCATTTTTAAACTTGAGGCGTGGGAAATTGTCATTTCGTCAAACCTTGGGTGGAAAAATGTCGTTCTCCCTTAATCTAATAGTCAATTTTCTCTCCTCGATTTCATAAAATCATCATTTATCTTATTTAACTATAGTAAGTAACGATCAAAGTTGAAATCAACCAGAGCTTAAGCTTCTTCAAATAAAAAATTTTATCTGTCGCATAATCTTGGTAAAACAACAGCAAATGGTGCTTAGTCATGGTCGGAAAATTAGTAGAATCATATCGAAAAGTTTAAATTTTAATGTTATCAATGGGGTTAATTTACATGAAATTAGAAGGAGAAAATAGTATAAAATAAGGAACAAAAATATTGATAGATCGATAGAGATTCACCGTAGAATGGATAAAGCTACTTGTCAAAGTTGGAGCTTGACAGTAATTTTGACATATTTAAGAGATAGATTCTTGGCTAGATAAAGAGCCATACTGCTTCTAATTAATCTCTACCTAGAATATAAAATAGAGTAAACAACTTTTTTCCACCCAAATAAAGGTTTAATGACACTTTTTCATTCACAGATTTTTAAAATATCATTTTATTACTTAAATTTATATTCTATTTGTGATTCTAGCATCGTTGTGACCCTACACCACCATCATTCTCTTCTTTGATCATTACTCACCAAAACTCCTTAAACCATATTTTCACTGATCCCGCAAATCACCTACAACTGAGTGATTAGGATTTACATAGTTGTCCCTTCCAAGTCAAATTTCGATCAATTCTAATCAACAAAATCCAATATCTCACCACCATAAGAGTCATATGCCTCCCCTCTTCAAAAGTTCTAACAGTGTAGGTCGAGTTTGCTCTCTGTTTACTGTCTAAGTATAAATTTAGATAATAAAATAGTATTTTAAAAGTTTTATGAATGATAAAGTATCATTAAACTATTATTTTGGTAGAAAAAAGTCACTAACTCATATATAAAAATATCTTAGAACTTTTATTATATGCTTATCTTTAATGTTTACTATAATAGATGATTTACTGAAGTCATAATGATTTACTAACGTCATACTAAAAAAAAAAATGTAAATAATTGTCAACA